GGCCGAAGCGAGAGCCAAACGAGCGTAACACGTTTGGACCAAAAGCTCCGACTTGAAAAGTCAAAAGCGGGAGTGGAACTCCCAACGAAGTGCTCGAGGAACGAGCACGAAGCGAGCAAAAGGCGAAGCTCCAAAAAGGGACCCAAAAGGACCAACACATGACACGTGGGAGTGTCCGAGATGGACTCGAGTTGGAGTCCGAAGTGGAGTCCGAGATGGACCCGAGTTGGAGTCCGAAGTGGAGTCCGAGATGGACCCGAGTTGGAGTCCGAAGTGGAGTCCGAGACGGACCCGAGATGGAGTCCGAAATGGAGTCCGAAGTGGAGTCCGAGGTGGACCCGAGATGGACCCGAGTTGGAGTCCGAAGTGGAGTCCGAGATGGACCCGAGATGGAGTCCGAGGTGGACCTGAGATGGACCCGAAATGGAGTCCGAGATGGAGTCCGAGATGGACCCGAGATGGAGTCCGAGATGGAGTCCGAGATGGACCCGAGATGGACCCGAGATGGAGTCCGAGATGGAGTCCGAGATGGAGTCCGAAGTCGAGACCGAGACCGGGACCGAGACCGAGACCGAGACCGAGATCGGGACCGAGACCGAGACCGAGGCCGAGGCCGAGACCGAGCCCGAGCCCGAGCCCGAGTCCGAGTCCGAATCCGAGTCCGAGTCCGAGTCCGAGTCCGAGTCCGGAGCCTGAGAGGGTGAAAGCCCAAAGCGTTCGTCTCCCAGACCCTGGGGGGTTTGGTGAGCTCCAAAAGTATAGTAGGGGGAGGACTGCAGTGGAGCCAGTTTGGCCAGGAAAGGCCAGTTTGGCCCAGGAAGGCCGGACCCAGTGTTGGGTGATGAGCTGCCCACTGGGAAGTCCAAGACTAGAGTGAACACAGACCGACAAGCAGGGTAGCTTGGTGAAGTGTTCAAGAGCCGGCTCTAGTTCCCCCGGGAGATCGACTGGCCGATGCTCCCAGTCCAAGTGTGGGTGGCACTACCTACTTGGATACCTGGTGTGGCTCAACGGAACCCGCTCTAAGCCCATGGCTAGAGCACCCAAGGGCAGAAGGCGAGGAGAGTACCCAGGTGGCTCGCGTAAGGCCACGGTGTTCCGAAATGTTGTCCCAAAGGCCCAGACTGTGGAAAGGAAGAGGAGCAGTCCTCTGGGGTAGTGACCAAGGACACAGTCGTGTGGTGAGGAAGTCCCAGAGGACCGTGGGACTTAGTGGTCGGGCCTGTGGGTCTCGATCCAGTGGCAGTGTTGGCAAACACGGCCAGGGGCAGAAAGGGTCTTAGTGGGGACTGACAGAGGGATATTGGGGAAGGCTATTCCCCTTGTCGGTGGGCATCCTAAGGATGCTAAGGAGTGGATCTGAGATGACCACTCACGGATGGTTTGCCTAGTCTTGGAGAGCCAAGACGGTGATGCAAGTGGTATTGGACTACCAGTGTGGCCAAGGTGATTGGGCATGGCCTTAGCGTAACGGGCTGCTATGTCGGTGGTACCTTTGAGTGTCGGTCATGGGATCGGACATGTGGTGCACTTGGACCAAGTGCAAATGTTGAGTGGCATGGATGCCATTCTCGGGGCTAGCAAGTCCCAAGTCCTGGATTGGACTTATGGAGGTTGTGAATGAGACTCCTCCAAGTGGTCAGAGGTGTGGTTAAGTGACTAAAGTAGAATGGAAAATTTAGTCGCTTACAGTGATGTTTGTAAAGTGTTGGATCGGCTACGTGATGTTAGTTTAAATCTGAAGCGGTCGAAGTGCGTGTTTGGATCCAAGGATACAACTTATCATGTGTACCATATTTCTCATGAGGGTTTGCAAGTTGATCCTGACAAACTTGTGGCTATTCTAAAGTTCCCTACTTCGAAGTGTGTGAATGATGTATAGCGCTTCTTGGGCAAGGTGTAGTATCTCGGTCGTTTTGTGGATCATCTTTCTAATCGCACTGCACCGTTGCAAACGTTGTTGAAGTCATCAACATCATCTTTCATCTGGTCTCTGGATTGTGAGCGGGAGTTCGGGGATCTCAAAGAGCTATTGACAACTCCTCTAGTTTTAGCATATCCTGACTACACTTGATCTTTTATTTTGTGCGTGGATGTTTCTAACATTGGTCTTGGAGGTGCGTTGATGTAGAGAGCTTGAGTGTGCCTGGTCAGCACCATCCCATTATGTATATAAGCCATACATTACAACCAGCGGAAATGAACTACTCCACGACAGAGGAGTGTTTAGCAGCAATTTGGGGTTTCGAAAAACTTCATACATATTTACATGGTTCTCGGATGTTACTTGAAGGTGATCATGCTGCTGTTACTTCATTATTGAAGCGGAAGAACCTGGTTGGTCGTACTACTTGATGGGCTTTGAAGCTTCAAATATATGATTTTGATGTTGTTCATCGCCTAGGGAGTTCTTTAGCTGATGTTGATGCCTTTTCTTGAGCTCCTCTTCCTTCTTTATTCTCTTCTCATATTTCTGACGAGTCTGTTGTTCTAGCCTTTGTGGATTTTCTAGACAAGGATTCTGTGCCGTTGGCGGTTGCTGTACTTGACGTTTAGTGTCCACAAAGCACAAAGCAAGATCTACCTTCTCTTGATGAGGTTCGTGAGGCTCAAAAGATTGAGCTGTGGATTCGAAGGCTTCAAGATGGGTTTGAGAATTTTGCATCACTTGCTGATGACTTACCTTTCCGGCATTTACATTCTCAATATCGCCTTGAAGACGGCCTTTTTTATTTTGTGGGGACAGATCCTGATGATCATTTACAGCTGGTGGTGCCTTCTATCTTTGTTCTGCGGTTTCTCCATGCCTACCATGATTCTTCTATTCTAGGTGGGTATATGGGACATCGTCGTGTAATCGAGAAGCTGCACAGGTCTTTCTATTGGCCGGAGATGCGACGTGATATTATCCAGTATGTGCGTAGCTGCGTTTGGTGCCAAGCTCGTAATACTCCCCCTTGAGTTATGGAAGGATGGTTAAAGTCAATTGCAGTTTTCCGTCCGTTTGAGTTAGTGACGTTTAATCTTATGGGACCTTTTCCACGGTTGATTGTTGGTAATGAGTATGTTATTATTGCTTCTAACTATTTGACTCGTTGGGTGGAAGTTGGTGCTCTTATTAGCGCCTTTGCAACTGCTATTGGATATTTCCTCCTCAATCGAATGGTGTTCCAGCATTCTTGTCCCGAGCGGATCCTTTCGAATAATGGTCTCGCATTTATGGCTGAGGCATTTCATGTTTTGATGTCTCGGTTGGGGATACGCCACACTTTCACGAGTGCTTATCATTCACAATCAGACGGTCTGGTGGAATGGCTCGTTCGGACATTCAAGGGGATGATTGCGAAGTATGTAAACTTTCAGCATTCGAATTGGGATGGTTATTTATTGTCTCTTCGGTATGCATATGTCACAAAGGTGCAAAATTCTGTTGGTGCTTCACCATATAAACTCTTATATGGTCATGATTTAATATTACCAATGGAGTTGGGTTTACCTTTGCGATTACCACAAGCTATGGATGCTAGGTTGTGGGATTAGTATTTGACGAGCATTCTTCCACTTGTCCGAATGGAGTCTGCCAAACACTTAGGCCGCGTACAAGTGGGATAACAACGGCAGTAAAACTCCCATCATCGTCCACATGCAGAGTACAAAGTGAATGATTTGGTGTTAGTCTATTTTCCCTATCTTATGGTACATGGTTTATCTAAGGGGCTCCTTACGCAGTGGAAAGGACCGTATCGGTGTTGCGGCAAGTTGGACCACAAATTTATGAGGTTCGGTATGACGTCCAACAGACAGATCTTCCAAAGATTGTGCATGTGCAACGGTTGAAACGCTTTATACAAAGGGATCAGGAGTAGTTAATACCACCTACAAATCCGCCAATGCCTCCTCTTGACATTCCTCCAAATCTCAGCCCATCTACAAGAGAACCTTGATGGTCTTCCATTATTCTGAGAGGAGGGGATGATGTGAGGGCCAAGTGTATGGCTACGATGTTGTATACTAATATTAGCGTAGTGGGATTTTGGTAGCCGTTAGATTAGTTTCAATCCGAACCACTCACTCTTGTATATAAGCTAGGGTTAACATAATGAGAAAAACCTAAACCAGCTTATAAATTATATTTGTTAATTACAAAATTATAGTCTTTAAAATACCCATCTACTAATTAAAATTTAAGGTTACTAATTTAAATTTAGTCATCAAACATTTAGAGCTGGGTGTGATTAGGCGTGACACAGAGTGCCATAGAAAGAGCAAGGAGTGGGCGTGGCAAGGGGGTAACCACATAAGAGAAGGGGGTGTTGCATTATACATTTCTCTTGAGTCCATCACCTGACGATCTCCTCGTGGGCATAGCACTCACTCTTTAGTTTCATGCAGTTGAACGGCATCACCACCGATGCTGTGACGCTTGCCTGGGTACTCTCGGGGTGAAACACAGGTGGGATTACTTCGTGTCTAGTGAGGAGCGGCCAACTTTCAAGCACTATGTGGTGATCTTGGATATGCTCGGCTCAAGTATGCCGTTCCAGCCAGACTTGGTGTTGTGGAGGACGCTGCTCAGTGCGAATCATAACAATCCCCACGTTAGAAAACGAGCAGCCGATTGCAGCCCAGCGATCCTACTAGTTTTCCTGTCCCACATCTACTCGGCCCGGGGAGGCCGAGAAGTTGAGGCACGAAAGTTTAGGATTCATAGAGACAACTCGCAAGGGAGCTTCGTGATCTTGTCGCTGGCTTTGAAGTCCACGCGGGTATAGAACCCCAGGAAACGATGTCTCTTTCTGGCATGGAATCAAGTAGCAATAGAGCATTTGTAGCGGGAACAGGATTGATCGATCCATGAGATCTTGTTATTTGGAGTATGAAAAAATTAATTTGACTGGATTTATTTATGGATTTTGGCCTGCAAATTCGACTCGTCACCCACAGCGTTCATTCCTCTGATATGGTTGGTGCTTCCTCTGTATCGTGTGGCATTCCTTCGTTTACCACATCATTCCTCTTCTCCTCAGCTCTTTAAGCTGTATGTACTTTGAGCTTTCTTTTATCTGCCCGTGCAGAATTCCGTATGTTGGAAATGAACTCTTCCCTGCTCAAAGTGATCCACTGTAACATCGTCTTAGTTTCTCAATCAGGACATGCAAAAAAAATCACCTGTGGCATCTCATCAGTGTAGTCTTCATATGTGAAGTTGAGTGCTTTAGCCTTGCCGAAGAATCTAATAACTGCTTGGTCGTAGGTCCTATCACAACGAAGTTAGATTCTGGTAGTAAAATAGTAACTAGCGAGTGAGGTTTACCTTGCTCCCTCCTCTTGTGTCCCATATGCCCCTGGAAATGCAAAACAAAAACAAAACAAACAATAAAAAACCAAATATTATAGCTCAGCTCCTGAAAAGACTCACCAGTCGAATCGCGAGTCCAGCCTGCACCAAAGATGAAAACAGTGTTAGAATGGTGATGGTCAAAAGCTTGGGTGCTGGCTGTGATCTCTTCAAGTTGATCATGGCAATACATCCAGGTAGCTAGATGGTATCTCAAGAGGTTTAGAGGGATGAGCTCTACTCACGTTATGGAGGCCGCCCATTCTTGACATTTTGACTTTTTGAGACGATATACTCCGCGATAGTTTGATGCTCGAGGCCGAGTCTCCCTCGTGCGTGGAAAGCCAGCGTCACCTCCAAGAAGGTCGGGTGTAAACCAGATCAACGACTTGCCGCGACTCATTTGACGTAGCATGGTGATGAATTCCTTGTCGGGCAGATTGATCCACTGCAGAGAAAATCCAAGTGTTTAGATCTTGCCAAAGTAGAAACGGTAATATGATCATACCTGGGGGATCTCGTGCACGTAATCCGAGTAGGGAAAGTTTGGGCAGTTTTGGCCACGGAACTTGATGTAAGCTCGGTCATAAATCCTGCGAGTGAACATCTTTAAGAAGAAGGAGAAAAACAAATTAACCTGGCTCCGGCTTCCTCATTGCTGCATGAACCAACGTATATTTGCTTGCCTTTACTCGTACCCCTGATCACCACGATAAATTAAAAATCAGCGTGATTGTTGAAGATCTTTCATTTGAAAAAAAAATTGTAAGGAAGAACATACTCACCAAATATGCGTCTCCCAACGCTCGATTCTCTTGTAGTACGCCAACGTAACGGGACGACTTTTTAGCGTATCTCCTCGCGCACGTCGGCGTCTTCCTCTTCTTTCTCGTTTCTTCTTTCTTGGATGGTCGAGCAGCGATCTCCCTCTTCGCACAACTTTTACCTTTTGATCTTTGAGCTCGAGCTGCAAGACGAAGTCTTGATCGTAGAAGTTGCGGCCCGAGTGACCATGGAGGTGGCTTTCTTTTTCTCGGCGATCATCGGATGATGATCTTGACCACCCACCATCGCTGGTGATGGCGGTGCTAGACGACGTCGCTTTGTTCTTGGCGCCAACGACCCTGCTGAAGCTACCGGGGGCAATGTGAATGCGGCCGCAGGATCATCACAATCATCAAGGGAAGGAGCTGCTGGATCATGGGCAGCAGGAGAGAATATAGAGGTGACGGCCATACCCTTGCGCGCTGAACGCCTGCGCCGCGTGTCCTTGATGTTGGGATCTTCATCCGGGGCCGCGAAATCTCCTGGAGCAAGCTGGAATCCACTCGCAAGTACCTCCACGGCGAGTAACTCATTCGACGAGGACTCGGTACGAAGTACATGGGCCGGCGGGCGGCGGCGATTGGGTTGCGGTGGCGCCGCAATACCAGGTGCCCGTGCTGCCGTGGACGATCGAGCAGGATTGGAGCGAGGCATGACCGAGCAAAGTTATTGCCAGCTCCATAAGTCACATTAATCTTGCAAATCCTATCTTGTCTAAATACCTGTATTCCTCCCAATCAGCTGCAAAATCGTCACACTGCTCTTCTGAGAATGATGTAGAGAGTAATGCTTTCTCTTGCAACTCTGATTTGCCCCATGTGAATCTACTTCCCGTATCCACTACTACTAAGAGCTTCGTAGTATCACCTTTGTAACTGCTGAATGTTATGAAGAGTTGGGGTACGCTCTCAAGAGTAAAGTCGAGGTTGATAGCAAATGCGGCAAGCAACATAGATGCAAACAGGGCTGCAAGACAAGGTTTTAGATCAGTTGAATTGAAGCATCTAGAAAATACCCAGACTTACTGGACTTGTAGGCATGCTGTAAGAAACCCATCGTGTGCCTAACAGTATAGGTTCAATAGCTAACAAAAAATATGGATTGATGAAGTCATAAGAGCTTACCAAGGAAACAGTAATTCAGGATGTAGAGCTGGCTGGTTCCAAACACTTCGATGGAGCTTTCTTCAGTAGGGCTGTGGTTTGCTACAAGTGACTGGAAATGTAGCTGCTCCAAGAGACTGGAAATGTGGAGCTGCTACAAGCGACTAGAAATGTAGAGCTGCTACAAGCGACTGGAAATGTGGAGCTCTGATTTGGAACAAGCGACTAGAATTATATCCTCCTTAAGAAACCATCTCCGCTCGGCAGACAAAGAGATGGTCGAGAAAACACAATCTGTGTGATTGTACGGCATTAACAGCTACCTCTTCCAATAAAAAAGAGTCGCTAAACCACCTTCGGTGTCTGGACAATGCCGAAGACGCCACGGACAAAGCCTCCCGGCTGTCTCGTTTTCTCCTCCCGTTGGCGGGTGAGCGAGGGTTCTTCAACTTGGAGTCCTTGGCCGGCCTCACACATCCCCCAAGCTTAAACATCACCTCACTCGGGCCGTTGATTCATTGAGAGTGTTCTTTAAGACCACTAGAGAAAAACTGAAATTCATTATCAATGAATTTCGAATGAAATGTTTGTGAGAAACTCAATTATAATTAATTTTAAATTTATAACCATGTTGAAATCTAGACTGTCACTCAATTACAAGCGTTGGAATTGTGCAATGTGCTAGGATAGTGCTGATCTCAGCTGGAGCTGGATTGGCCGCTAGAGCTGGATCACTGCGTTCTCGTGGCTGCACTGTTGCATTGCTGGATGGAGCTGGATCGCTGCTTGCTTGTGGCTGCACCGCTGACTTGCTACGCTGCTTGCTCGAGCTAGATCACTACACCGCTGCATTGCTGGATGGGCTGCTCACTGAATGTGTCCCTGGAAATTAGAGAGCTACTCTACACGTACTCCATGTCAAATGCCAAAGCACCTAGCGAAATGAACTTTCAGAAGTTTAGAAGTTTGGACTGACCAAAATTTGCAGCATTGTATCGATGTTGTTTCCTCTCGCTGGACGAGCCTCCAAAGTAGATTATTCTATGAATTTAAAGGAGTGCCTGTTGTCGATCAAGTTGGTTTCACTAGTTGCTGCACATACGCCTGGACACCACTTCAAAGATTTAGAACTCACTGACAATTATTTTTTCTATAGAAAACACACCTTTCTCGTTAGCCAGCACTTGCGAGCTGCTTCTCGGTTTTGCGTGAGCCTCCTCAGCGGCTGCAAACGGAACACTGCAGTTCCAGCATGCTTAGAAAGCTCTACCTTGGAATCAGCTGATTTTCAGGCTTTGAAACAAAAGCAAAAAAATTAGCACACTTCCAAGAGAAAGAAAAAAATTCCTTGCAAAGAAACTCAAGGAGGATTGGATACCTTTGGAGAAGGCTCAACGTCTATGGAGTTGTCTGTAAGTGGACTAGTGTCAGCCATGCCCCATTTTGTGTTAGCGTTACTGTCAAGCTCCAAGTTCCTATCGGATGCAACCTTTTGATGCGCGTAGTAAATATCAGTTTTGTAATGGACGTGGAAGTTGGGAAAAGCTGGAGAAAAGAAAGAGATCCAAGAGGACAAAATGTATCTCTGCCGCTGCCTATCACTCATTCTGGAGAATCAAGAGAAGCAAGATCAACACAGAGCGGAGAACACTCGCAAGTAAAACAGAAACTTACACTGGGATGTTTACGCGGAAGTGTACGAATTGATCACCATTAGCGTGTCGTTGCGTGACTTTGATACCTGTGGAAGACAGAGGATTGAAACTAAACTCTCAAATCGTCACAAGTATCAGACCAGGTTGAGTACCAGGCTTGACCCCGCAAAACCACATGTCCTTGAAAAGTATAGCCTACCTTCAACACGAATGATCGTTGGCATTTCAATGGTTCCACCCAGAACAGCCTTGAAAAGATTTCAAGTTCTTCCATCAAAGAATGAGCAAGAAAAACAGAAAAGTGAGACATCGCAATCGACAGCATGCAACCCTCCATTTTACTACACAGGGAACACACTCAAGGATCTCAGCCAAGAAAACGAAAAAGAAAGAAAAGTCCTACTACATTTCATGTAGATACGAGAATGGAAGACCAGAGCTGCGGCATACATAAGAAACCCCCTCCAATCCACGCGATTGCTCCAATCTGCTGCTAGAATGCAATAAAGATTCTTACCGATTAGCAATCCCTCGACCCACTAGTTTGATGATATATAATTTTACATAACATTGTCATATATAGGCATAAATACATGTGGCACATCAACTGAATTTTACTGAATCCTCAGATTCCTCTGCAACATCTCCTTATCTGGGTACACGCCCTTGTTGAACATAAACTAGAGCACCTTGCAAGCCTTGTTGAGTGACTTATAGATTGCCAGGCACACCCCTCACGATCACTTGTAGGCTTCTTGGACCAAAGGTTCATATTACTTCACATCTAGCCTCCAATTATATTGTTAGTTTCATTAGTATCAGAGTCTTCTGAATTTGTGATATATTTTAGAGGGTAATTATAGAATCTTCTTGTATTTGAAGATTTGCTGGGATGAACAATTCCCAAGTGGTTGACTAAGATGTTGGCCAGGATCTCACATGAGCATAGTTCATCTGAATAAGGCTTTTTTCTCATCTGTGTGTGCATATGAAAACTTTGAAACACTTCAATAAGGAGAGAAAATGAAACACCAATGCTTCATGAGAATAGTTCACCTAAATAAGGCTCTATAAGCTAAGCTTCTAGCTTCTATAAGCTCCTAGAAAAGTTCTAATACAGAGACTGGAAAAACCTAGGCAAGAACAGCATTGTTGACATTGAAAAAATTGGAAAGATCATATTCACTTTGTCAGTCTAGAGCTTGCTCTTTTCCGAAAAGCAACAAAAGACACACACATGGAAGAGCAACAAAAGGACAATTCTTTGGGACGGTAAAGTAGTTTGTGTCAAATGACACAATGTTCTCAAATCTCTCAAAGGGGAGCTACCATACTAAGCCAAGGAAATTTGGTTAAAACCCACTTCTTAGATTACATCTGAATGAGCGTGGCTCCTTGGCAACAAACTTAGATTAGGACCATTGAGGACTGGTGATAAAAAAACTTAATATTTAATATAAGTTTAATTTAGATTGCAGTCAGTGGAAAAGAAAAATTTCATACTTTTTCAACCATTTTATGCTCCTGAAACCATTTTATAAATGAATGCATACCTTTCTCAAATGAAATATAAGATTTAAGAAGCAATAGATTTGTAGGAGGCTCATATGCAATCTCATAAGGGCCTGGATTCTCATCCTCAATTTCAACAATCCAAGCTTTAAGATTTGTAAGCGTTTCTACAACCTTAATCACTCCTTTAAATGGAATAGGGGGCCATGGTGTCCCAATATCATATAAATTCACTTGTCCCATGCTGTGACTTGATAGAATACTATTGATCATCACAGCTACTGCATCATCAATGTATATATAGTTTTGTCGCCCTTTCCTTTGCTCCCATAATGGAACATCAGTCTTATGCAATATCTGATCAACAAACTTGTAATAGGGAAAATCTGGACGACCATAGCTCCCATAAACTGTACTAAACCTCCATTCCACAACTGGAAATGGTAGCTTTGGTGCCAAAGATTCAACTAACTTCTCCGCAGAACGGCTTGAAGGGATGTAAAAGCGATTTGGGCTTGCAAAAAAGAAACCTTGCATGGATGGAACACTGCATGCCGCATCAAGCAGTGACTTCATAGTTCTCTCATTGTCCTCCAAATTCCAACTATGCTCTTGCTGTGTAAAATCCACTACAATGTTTGGCTTCTTACTCCTTATCACGGCCATGGCCAACTCTGGATCTGTGGCACTTCCATAAACCACTTCAATACCCTTACTCTCAAGAAGAGGGGACCTCTCTGAACGCTCCACATCCAAGCCCGTCACCAGAAATCGTAGATTGGGATGCTTGTGTGCCTCCAATCCCAAAGCAAGCTGGCTACCAAGAAACCCACTTGCACCCACAATCAAAACCCGATATTCTTTTTTCTTTCTCATCTGGAAGATCAGCCAACCAAGTAAAACAAGGACAAAGACACAAAGCAACACTGTGTTGGGAGACATAATTTTAAACCCTAATGAAACAAAAAGGACTAAATAGGGCATATAAATAGTTACTAAAATGGACAAACTTAGATTATAACTGATCACACTGAAATATTAATCCGCGGACTTTTGTCGATTGATAGCGAGTCACCCGGTTGGAGAGGAATAGAAAACATAAAAGACCTTCATTTTACTGATTTTGTGCGATTAGAATGCTGGACTTTGACCTTTTCTGATTTCTTTTCCACATATTATGATTGATGGAGGCCAGATCAATGGAAGAAAGTTTATACGATATAACTCTTACAGTGAAGGTGCATTTCCCAGGAAGCTTTCCAAGCTATCATGGTGTAGTAAAATTCTTTAATTTCACAGATGTGATAACTTGGTAGTCTGCTAAAACAAAAATAGAATGCTCTGCTTGATGTTCCGGAACCATTCCATGGACAGATTTTTCTTTGTTATGCCCTAACTCCACACTGGGTCCTTGGACATAGTTGTCGTTGTTGTGTTGGTTTTTCAGTTCTCCGATTGATTCTGGCTGTCACCACACCGTCGGTGACATGCAATGGGAGATTTACCGCTTCTTGCGATTATAACTCCACAATTGAAATCAAAGTGTTTAAACCAATTTCGAAAGCTATTGGCGGGAATCGAAGAGCCCTAAAGTTCCGCGGTTTAGGGCTTAGGAGCAGAACGATGGCCACGGGAGTCCGGGCGATGGCAACGGCAATGCGCGGATTGGAAGCGGCGATGCGAGCGATGGCGATAAATCGTCTTTCTCGCTCGTCAGCGGTCTACCCACACACTCCAAGGCAGCCAGGTATCAAGTTCATCAGGACGAGCCTCTATTGCCTGGCTGTGGTTGCGCTGCTCATAGCCATGCTTTCGATCACACTCCAGGAGAGGGAAGAAGAAGAGAAGCCGTTTAGAGTGCTCGTAATTGGGGCGAGCGGTTTCTTGGGCTATAAATTGTCCCTCGGCTTGTTGGCCAACACTCGGCCAAAGATAGAGGTGGTGGGAATCGATGCCGAGCGCAACGAGCGAGCACAGCTGCTGGAGAGTGCTGGAATGCACATCCTGTATGGGAATGTGACTAAGTGGGCTCTCGCCACCAGCGGTGTGAAGCTCGCACGGCCCCATGCTATCGTGGACTTCACTCAGCAGGAGCATCCTTGGTGCCTTCCACTCAACCAGCTTACTCTCGGGACCATTCTTGACGCCGCAACTGCGGACAGGTCTGTGAGGTCAGTGTTCTTCGCCAGTCCGAACCGGTTCTACATCCCTTCTTCTCTATCCGGTGAGCTACTTGCTGCAGCCAAGTCTGTCCTGTTACCGTTTTCTGTGGTGGAGTGGCGATTTAGTACAGTCTACGGAGAGTTTGGACGAACCGATTACCCGTATTACAAATTCGTGGAGGATATCACCAGTGGCCAGGAAGGCAGAACTACATTTACATCGACGATGCAGTGGCGGTTATGATCAAGATGATTCTCGACTTCACACATGTCGTTGGTGCTGTTACCGTCGTGGACATCGGCACTCCAACGCCAGCTTTATCGTTCAAGGACGTAATTCGAGTGGTGGCCAAAATCTCGGGGAAGAAGCAAAACTCGTCGAGGTTGAGGATGCAAATCCACCGCCGTGGGAGGTAGAGTATGTACCTCCTTCACACCTCTACGCACTTGGAAAGTTCACTTCTTTCCAGTCTGGAATGGCGCGTTTCATCGACTGGTACGAGCAGAAGAAGAGTATGTAAGTGTCTCTTGCTTGTCCATTCACTAATGTAATCCAGTACATTCTTGTCTGTGACAGGATCGCTAGGAACGAAGTCAATGACCATACGTAGCTGATGACTAAACAAGTAAGTTTTGTTCTTGAGCAGCTCCTGCCATTGCAGGAATAGAATCGAGCCTGAAGGCTTATTTGCCCCTTTGACAAGCTCTTTGTCGTCTGTGTAGTTCGTGAGCATGATGTCTGTGAAGTCTTCCAGTTGGCTTGCAAACTCGTGGCTTTGTGCTCATCAACTATTGCTTGGAAGATATTGTCCTTCTTTGCGGCCAACCTTGACTGTCCAGTCGATTGTTGTTGATAGTTGTTTTGTCATGGAGGTGGTTCTCATGATCAGCCTTTGATCAGCCTCTGGCAAGAAGTCTGCCATGTGGAAGAGAGCAACGTCAACGATGTCGGCAACGATCTCTTTGAACTCTCTCGACTGTTTGCAATCGCCAGTCCCGAGAAACATCAAGATATGTGTGATGATGTTGAAGATACGAGCTTCCTCACGTCCACGACGAGCTCTCGCGGGCCTGCACCGAGGAACGCGAGAGAAGCCTGGGTCTTCAAGAAGTGAGTATATAAGCGCAGTCGTGAATCAAGTTTTAATTGTTATTGTCTTTCTCGTTCCAAGTCGAAGTGGTAACTTTTTATTTCTTGTAGATGGCACATATGAAGGCTCGCAAAGTCACAGGCGACTAGTATGCATCTTTGGAGAGTTTTGGAGTAGCAACAGCCTTGAGCAGTGGGGTCTCTGGCCAGAGAGGAGAGCAAAAGCCTTCATCGATCGTGAGATCCTTGACAGCTCTCGGGATTTCTGCGCTCCAGTCGAACGCATGGATCAAGCTCGAGACCGCGAGCTGAGCCGTCTTGAGACCCATCGTCATGGCCGGGCACGACCTCCGCCCAGATCCAAATGGAAGAAGCTCGAAATCCTGGCCCCGGACGTCCACGGCCGTCCCGGCGAATCTCTCCGGGAGAAACTCGAGTGGATTCTCCCAGTAGCTTGGGTCCATCCCGATTGCGTGAGCATTGACAAAGAGGGTGGTGCCTTTGGGTACGTCATAGCCACCGACTTTGCATGCCTGTGTCGACATGTGAGGGACGAGCAGCGGGACTGGAGGGTGTCGCCGGAGCGTCTCCTTGACGATGCACTGGAGGTATGGGAGCTTCTCTAGATCGGATTCCTCCACTCGCCGGTGCAAACCCACGACTGCCTCGAGTTCTTGCTGGGCCTTCTCCAATATTCTTGGGTGGCGGATCGTCTCCGTGACAGCCCACTCGATCGTCGCGGAGGTGGTGTGGGTGCCACCATTGAGCATCTCCTGCGATTGCGAGAATGGAATCGATTAGTCCAGTAGAGAGAGAAGAGGGGACTTCATGGCTTACTTGCACCATTGCTTTGATAAGCTCTTCGTCGTCTGCGTAGTTCGTGAGCATGACGTGTGTGAAGTCTTCCACCGCGTTGGCCTGCAAACGCGCGGCTTTGTGTTCGTCAACTATTCTCTGGAAGAACTTGTCCTTCTTCGCGGCCAGCCTCTTGAGCTGTGGGACTGTCCAGTCGATCCATCGCAGTCTCTCCGGCACAAAGTCCGCGACGTGGAACTGTAGAGCAACGTCAACGATGCCGGCAACGATCTCTTTGAACTCTCTCGACTCTTCGCAATCGCCGGTCCCGAGAAACCTCTTGCTCATCACTATCTGTGTGATGATGTTGAAGATGAAGATGGAGACGAGCTTCCTCACGTCCACGACGCCGTTCTCCGAGCTCTCGCGAGCCACTGCGGACAGCAAAAGCGAGACCTCAGCGGCCCTCACGCTCGCAAACGAATCCATGCGCTTGCTTGTGAAGAGCTGGAGCGTGCACAGCTTCCTCATGTTCTTCCAGTGCTCGCCGTATGGGGCGATCCCCATGATCCGGAAGTTGTAGCCCAGATGCTCTCCAGCAACCATGTAGGGCCTGGAAGCAAACGCCACGTCTTGCGTGTGGAGAACCTCCCTCGCCATCTCCGCGCTCGACACGACGATCGCACGGGTCCATCCCAGCCTCAAGAAGAGGATCGGTCCCAGCTTGTTGGAGAGCCTCTGGAGAGTGATGTGGGCGTCCTTCCCAGCGAGATGAGCCAAGTGTCCGATGAGCGGAATCCCCAATGGAGACGGGGGCAGCCGAAGCTTTGGGCGAACGCTCAACTTCCAGAGAAAGATCGCGATGGCAATGGCGATGGTACTCAAGACGTAAACCCCCATTTGCGCGGGAGGGAGCTCTAGAATTCGAGAGGCTGGCTCTGGCCTTTCGAGCGGAGCTGTGGGGTATAAGTATGGAACCCAAGCAACGTCTCCCTTGCCGGCACAGAAGTTATCAACTTGAAACACTCCTCATGAAGTTGACATTCCAAAACTGTAGGATATCCTTAAAAAAAATTGTGGCGAAGTTTCAACTAGATTCTCACCCATTGCATGTCACCGACAGTGTGGTGACAGCCAGAATCAATCAGAGAACTGAAAAACCAACACAACAACAACAACTATTTCCGAGTTAGGGCATAACAAAGAAAAATAAGCAGCGCATTCTATTTTTGTTTTAGTAGACTATCAAGTTATCACATCTGTGAAATTAAAGAATTTTACACTACACCATGAAGCTTCCTGGGAAATGCAGCTTCAATGTAAGAGTTATGTCGTATAAAACCCGGTGCCGCCAATAGATGCTGGCGGCCTCCACGAGACAGAGCCAAGAAGGTGGCGCCAACGATGGCCACTCCCATCATCTCCAGCTCTGCGAGGGCCAGTGAGATTGGAACCGTCTGGAAGATTGTGCGTCCACCATGGCCGCTGGAGAGAGAAAAAATGCTACCTTTAGCTAGCTGTCTGCCAAGAACAAAAAACAAGAGACAAGAGCGATGAGGGCGGCCTGATGTTTCACTTGAGTGATCAATTAGACCACGACTGCCAGAGCAAGCAACCCCGCTTGGAACACCACAGCATACAATGCACGAAAGATTCAAACAAGCGTTTTGCAAAATCAAGAGCACCCCGAGTTTCTCGACGTCCTGCTGAGCGAAGAGAGAGGGCCGAGCGAATCGTAAAGCTTACCTTGCCGCATCAGAAAAGAAGGACAGCGTCTTCCATGAGCCAGAGCCTTTAGATCTCTCCAAAATGAAATTGAACATTGGAACCAGCGAGAAACTTGGCCAAGTGATAGAGCTGGACCGACTCATTGGTGGCATTCCATCAAAAAATCCACTCAAACATGTAAATCAATAGAACTCATACATACAATTAGTTTTAAAACCTACTTAAAAGGTAAGACAAGTAAAAAAACAAGTTGGTTTATTCAAGAAGTTCTTGAGCATTCACCAAAGTTTCCTCGAGCAGCAGTGAGAAAAGAGCAAAGGACGAGACCTTTGTCGTGGATCACTTAAGCACGGCAGTGTGGAGGGCGCCCGTGCCGCCTTCAATTCAATCGTCTAGGATGGCTTCTCGTGGAATCTGCTGCTGGGAGCGTATGCCCGCAACGGGCATTCTACCATACAATTAGGCAATCTTGAATTGGCGTGAAATCTCTTCGATTGCTTCCTGGACAGGAATGTGATTTCCTGGACAACGATATGATCTATAAGACTATATACAACTCTTTGAGCTGCATGTACAAAGGAGAGAGCTCAATCCTTTGATCCCTTCTCTGGTGAAGTGACCTGTGGTTTTGTCTTTTGGAAAATACGCAAGTCAAATTCATCAATAGTATGGAAAATGCGTCAGCCCGAGTAAGTCCTCGACTCAAGCTCGTCCAGAGATGTAGTGTCGTGGAATGCAATGATCACAGGATATGCCCAGAATGCATCACAAAGATGCTAGATCTCTACCGAGCGATGCTGCTCGAAGGATACAAGCCTATGGAGGCCACTTTCCTTCCACTCCCTGACACCTGCTACTGCCTCCGTGATGCCAAGTCCGAGCACTGTGGCAAAGGCTGTTACATATTTGGCTCGCTGGCTTCAATGGCTCCCCACTGCTCAACTCGACACTTGTCAACATGTATGGGAAGGTCGGAAACCTCAAGTCTGCCAAGGTCGTGTTTATGCAAATGTGAGAGCAAGCCTTCCATGTAGAATGCAGTACCCTTTTTTATTTAGGGTGGGCCCATTTGCTTATTTGGATTTGCATTCCACTTCATTATTATAAATTAAAGATTGTTCTAGTATATTATTAGTTCTCTCAATAAGATCAGAAAAAGTAAGAATACTTTTTGAGGGTGTTGTGTCAGTTAGTGTTACATTAAGGCAACACAGTTGTCCTGTTGCATGATTTATATGTTCCAATTTAGCCATAATACTAAAGATAATGATAAAAATAAGAAAGAAAATATAAAAAGGAACACTGAGAAAAACCTAAGCCAAGCTATGCTTATAAATTATAGTTCATTCATTGTCTGATTACAAAATTATAATTTAACGTTACTAATTTAAATTTAGTCGTTAAACATTTAGGGTTGGGTGTGATTAAGCGTGACGCAATGTGAGGAGTGGGTAACCATGTAAGAGAGGGTGTTGCATTATGCATTTCTCCTGACTCCATCACCTGACGATCTCCTCATATGCCCAGCATGGGATAGCACTCACTCTTTAGTTTCATGCAGTTGAACGGCATCGCCACCGATGCTGTGACGCTTGCCTGGTGAAGCACGGTGGGATTACTCCGTGTCTAGTGACGAGCAGCCAACTTTCAAGCACTATGTGGTGATCTTGGATATGCTCAGCGCTGGAAGGCTCAAGTATGCCATTCCAGCCGGACTTGGTGTCGTGGAGGACGCTGCTCAGTGCGTGGTCGAATCACAACAATCCCCACGTTAGAAAACGAGCCGCCGATCGCATCCTAGAGCTCAGCCCAGCGATCCTATTAGTTTTCCTGTCCCACATCTACTCGGCCCCGGGGAGGCCGAGAAGTTGAGGCGGGATTCATAGAGACAACTTGGGATTTGTCTTATGCGCGTTTGCGAGCAGGAGATATGGTTAAACTCCCGGGGGATCGCAAGGGAGCTTCGTGATCTTGTCGCTAGCTTTGAAGTTCACGCGGGTATAGAACCCCAGGAAACGATGTCTCTTTCTGGCATGGAATCACGTAGCGATAGAGCGGGAACAGGATTGATTGATCCATGAGATCTTGTTATTTGGAGTATGAAAAAATTAATTTGACTGGATTTATTTATGGATTTTGGCCTGCAAATTCGACTCGTCCATTCCACCCACAGCGTTCATTCCTCTGATATGGTTGGTGCTTCCTCTGTATCATGTGGCATTCCTTCGTGTATCACACAAGCACCAATCCTCTTCTCGTCTATGTGGCATTCCTTCGTTTACCACATCATTCCTCTTCTCCTCAGCTCTTTAAGCTGTATGTACTTTGAGCTTTCTTTTATCTGCCCGTGCAGAATTCCGTATGTTGGAAATGAACTTTTCCCTGCTCAAAGTGAGCCACTGTAACATCGTTTTAGTTTCTCAATCAGGACATGCAAAAAAAATCACCTGTGGCATCCCATCAGTGTAGATCAGTGTAGTCTTCATATGCGAAGTTGAGTACTTTAGCCTTGCCAAAGAATCTAATAACTGCTCAGTCGTAGGTCCTGTCGAAACGAAGTTAGATTCTGGTAGTAAAATAGTAACTAGCGAGAGGTTTACCTTGCTGCCTCCTCTTGTGTCCCATATGCCCCTGGAAATGCAAAACAAACAATAAAAAACCAAATATTATAGTTCAGCTCCTGAAAAGACTCACCCAGTCGAATCGCACGAGAGTCCAGCCTGCACCAAAGATGAAAACAGTGTTAGAATGGTGATGGTCAAAAGCTTGGGTGCTGGCTGTGATCTCTTCAAGTTGATCATGGCAATACATCCAGGTAGCTAGATGGTATCTCAAGAGGTTTAGAGGGATGAGCTCTACTCACGTTATGGAGGCCGCCCATTCTTGACATTTTGACTTTTTGAGACGATATACTCCGCGATAGTTTGATGCTCGAGGCCGAGTCTCCCTCGTGCGTGGAAAGCCAGCGTCACCTCCAAGAAGGTCGGGTGTAAACCAGATCAACGACTTGCCGCGACTCATTTGACGTAGCATGGTGATGAATTCCTTGTCGGGCAGATTGATCCACTGCAGAGAAAATCCAAGTGTTTAGATCTTGCCAAAGTAGAAACGTTGATATGATCATACCTGGGGGATCTCGTGCACGTAATCCGAGTAGGGAAAGTTTGGGCAGTTTTGGCCGCGGAACTTGATGTAAGCTCGGTCATAAATCCTGCGAGTGAACATCTTTAAGAAGAAGGAGAAAAACAAATTAACCTGGCTCCGGCTTCCTCATTGCTGCATGAACCAACGTATATTTGCTTGCCTTTATTCGTACCCCTGATCATCACGATAAATTAAAAATCAGCGTGAATGTTGAAGATCTTTCATTTGAAAAAAAAAACTGTAAGGAAGAACATACTCACCAAATATGCGTCTCCCAACGCTCGATTCACTTGTAGTACGAGACTCCAACGTAGCGGGACGACTTTTTAGCGTATCTCCTCGCGCGCGTCGGCGTCTTCCTCTTCTTTCTCGTTTCTTCTTTCTTGGATGGTCGAGCAGCGATCTTCGCACAACTAGACCTTTTGATCTTTGAGCTCGAGCTGCAAGACGAAGTCTTGATCGTAGAAGCTGCGGCCCGAGTGACCATGGAGGTGGCTTCCTTCTTTTTCTCGGCGATCATCGGATGATGATCTTGACCACCCCCCATCGCTGGTGATGGCGGTGCTAGACGACGTCGCTTTGTTCTTGGCGCCAACGACCCTGCTGAAGCTACCGGGGGCAATGTGAATGCGGCCGCAGGATCATCACAATCATCAAGGGAAGGAGCTGTTGGATAATGGGCAGCTGGAGAGAATATAGAGGTGACGGCCATGGAGATCTACGTACCCTTGCGCGCTGAACGCCTGCGCCGTGCGTCCTTGATGTTGGTATCTTCATCTGGGGCCGTGAAATCTCCTGGAGCAAGCTGGAATCCCCTCGCAAGTACCTCCACGGCGAGTAACTCATTCGACGAGGACTCGGTACGAAGTATATGGGCCGGCGGGCGGCGGCGATTGGTTGCGGTGGCGCCGCAATGCCAGTTGCCCGTGCTGCCCTGGACGATCGAACAGGATTGGAGCGAGGCATGACCGAGCAAAGCAAATCGAAAGAGCAAGAACCATAGAAACCAAAGGAAGCGGTTCTCTTCTTATACTCGATATTTTCGTTCTTTGAGCTCTCGTTTCACTGTGCTAGCCGGCTACCGTGACCGCCTTTGACATGAGGCCACGCAGGCGCCGCGCCCATTAAAACATACGCACCATGGCTTTCAGGGCCGCTGGATTCCCGTCCATACATATGCGAATATAGGGAGCAGTCCATACGCGTGCCGCATACGTATAACTCTCCGCGCTGACCACAGTAATTGTCTCCTGGTAAGCAAACGAGAAAAGATTTAATTCCCCGCCCCAAATGGTCATGCCATTGAGAAATCTGGGCCTTGAGAATGTGACCATGCCCAACAAATGCGCAGCATGCATGAAAGAGCTCAATCAAAATCCACCACCTACGTCTGGGAGTTATTGTGCTTGGATGAATGGAGCGGAGTTAATGGATACGAATGCCACATCTGAAAAGTCTCCAAACAGCTGTACAAACCTTGGATAGTCACAGTTGGGCTTGGGGACAAAACCGACAGCCACCTCACTAGAGAAGGAACGAAAGGAGAGAGCTCAATCAGAGATGGCCACCATGAACACAAGTTCTCTCCATCCATGGTTTGATGTAGATCAGTGATAACTCTATGAAGATTTTGGTTGTATTGTTGGACCGCAAAGAGCCAGAGCGCGCGACTAATTCCGTACGCGTTTTTGTGTACGAAATTAGACAACAGTGTACCATGGAGTTACAGAACACTGGAAGTTCTATCAATTTTTGGACATGATAACCATGTAGAATGTCGAGTGGAGTGTAAATATGAATCAGCCTTGAAAATAGATAATGATTTACGTTGGTTATTGTCTTGTGGCTCCACCGCTAGGATGGCAACCACAAGCCCCACATCCCGATCAAATTGCGCCACTTGCACAGTTAAGCCCTTCCATCGCATGGATTTGGAGAATCTTCTTAAAACATATCTAATATATCTAGGCTGAAGAAATGTATCCAAACAAGCTTCAAGAGCAGCAAAGCTTGAAAGCTCCACCCCAGCATTCTCTCCCTCCCTGCCAGAATGGTGCACATCCCTCCTGGAATAACAAAAGCTCGTTCTTTTCGGCTTATATGAGAGAAAAGAAAAGAAAAGCAAAAAAAGAATTTAAGCTTCATAAGCTTCAATGGTCACTTCGTCGCAAACTTGTGGCGAAGTTTCAACTAGATTTTGGTCCCTGCTACCCGGAAACAATCGAGCCTGTTCTGGGCTTGGATTTGCGAGCCATCTCCAGTAGATGGCAGCAGCCCCTACGACCGCCACCATCGACAGCGCCGAGAGGCCACCAAAATGATTCACCTCGCTCGCAACGATGGCCACTCCCATCATAACCAGCTCTGCGAGGCTCGCTAGCGATACCTCCGTGGTTCCTACCAGGTTGGCCTGCGAGATTGGCACCGCTGTCTGAAAGACTTGCGCGTCCACCATATCGTAGACCCAGAAGCCCAGCCTTGAAACTACCTGCAAACACCGAGAAGAAATCTTTAGTAGAGCGAAAAAAAAAAACACGAAAAAAGGAGAGCTTACTATCAAAACCAAGAATGTGATGAGGGCAGCCTGATGTTTCACTTGAGTGCTCCAGTAGACAGCAACAGCCAGAGCAAGCAGCCCCGCTTGGAATACCAAAGCAGTCAATCCCGCCTGCGAGGTGGAAACATCTAAGCAATGTTTGCAAAACTCAATCGAGTTTACTTACTTTGAGCACCCCGAGCTTTCCTATCACTGCAGAAGAGACGAATGTGGCGACGAAACCCATCAGTGCACACATCCCGCGAAAGCTTCCAATGATCGACGGGTTCAGTCCTAGGCAAAACAATTTTTTAAGAGAGCGAGAGAGCTCTGTGTAAAGCTTTACCTTGCTGCGTTAGGAAAGACGTCATGAGGCTTCCAGGTCCAAGGACGGCATTGAAGTATAAGAGAACGTAAGCGACACTTGCTGGAAGAATTGGTTGTGACAAGTATTGAATCCATCCACGCTTGATGGCACGAAAGCCTTCCTCGGCTGGACAATATGGAAAAAAAGAAGACAACAGTTAGTTATCTAGACGGCAGTAGAAATTCAAGGCAGCCTTACATGATTGATCTTGATATCCTTTGGACTCGGTCCAGTTACGCGTTTTGGGGCGATCTAGTACCCCTTTCGAAAGCTTATATGTACAATGAACAAGATATATCTGTAATAACAACATTGATAAGAACCAAAAGTTTAAAGATTTTACCTTACCAGGAGAGGAAGAGATGTAACCATTGCTACCGCGGCAATGCAAATGCATTTGACAGGAGTATACCTCGACAACAATATTCCAAACAGAAGCGGACCAGCTATCTGAAAATCAAGAAAGCTTCAGCATTGAAAAGTCACGAAAGAGAACATTATTATACCTCGCAGACTAGATCAACTCTTCTCAGTATCGCATTTGCATTTGCTAAAGCCAGAGACCGATTTGATCCTGCGAGCTGCAAAACCGAGCAAAATCGTGATTGAGATATCGAGCAGTTTTCTTGAATGAGACTGGAAATTACCTGAACGACCCAGTCCCTTTCGAAAGCAACGCCGCACGCAAGGCCAGCCAGCCGCTCCAACGCACCGAAGGTCATCAAAATGATGAACCAAGGTTTCAGGAGAAGTCCAGACGTTGTGGACGCTGTTGCTGCTCCACCACGAAGGGCGAAAACTACCACGGCAGCAGAGACGACCATGGAGAAAGTCTGCAAATACGAAGGTTTCATACGACTAAATCCACAATACGCGTGCATACCTGAACAATGCTTAGAAAGTTAAACGATGCAGGCCTTGGCATGGAATCCATGAACGCTCCTACGCAAGGGCCACCGACGAAGATGACCAGCTGCAAGCAGTGTCCAAAGTAGCGTTAGTGAAGTGACGAAAACTTGCGGGCTTTAAACACACAATGCTTGTACGTAAAAGAAAAGAAAACACAGGATCAAACTTATAAAAACTACCTGGCTTACGAAATTCTCCGCAGCCACGGGGAGGAAGCTGCGGTGCAGAATTGCGATAACCGCAGGAAGAGCAAAGTGCCAAGCGTGCTCCAGTAGGCAGGAAAGAAAGTGTATCCCATACAGAGCTGGTATGCAAACAATCAACGAGCCAAAAAAACACTATGAGCATTGGGATTACCTGGCCAACAAAGCTGAGCATTGCCACAGGTAACAACGTATCGGATAGGAGAGAAATCACAGCAGGCAGTCCAAATCGCCATACTCGCTCCATGAAGCACGCAGCAACATAAGTTGCATACATGGCTGGGGGCCAACAAGAGGAGGCACCCAGGTCCAGAGTTAAAGCGAGAGGAAAAGCCACAAGCCAAACCAGGAACAAGAAACTCCAAAATTTTGGAGGAGTTGCTTACCAAACAAGCTCTCTGGATGAGCAGGAGTTGCAGAGATTCGCGCCTGTTCTTCTAGTGTTTGTACCTGCATTCCAAAGCATTAGATTTGTCTCGCAGCCTATAGTATAATTCACCTGAAGCTCTGATAGCAAACCATCTGACAGTGATTCATCCGGCTGCGGGGATTCGCCTTCCACGACTTGGACATGGTTCTGTCCAAACTCGTGCGTAAAATGCGTTACATGAGAAGCTTGGCGCCTACAGGAAATGTATAAGGAGAAACCAAGGAAAAGAAAGGAAAAAAACCAAACCTTTGGAGACATGGAAATCCACACTTTGGAACTTGGAGAGCACCACCGACCAATCTAATCGGACTCACAGTCGGCGCTCTCAACCTCAGATTGGAGTCACCGACACAACGCGTAAGGGCTCCCCTTGCGAGAGCCATACTTTGCTCACTGCATCAAACCCTGAATGAGTTCCTCCTTTGTTCTAGGAGATATAATCACAAAACCATATCTTTGGTACTTAGCTTGGCCATCTAAAAGACGAGTGCTCGTGAGAGAAAGACGTGGGTGTCTCCTGTCCCATTATCAGACACACGAGTGACGTGGACAGTGATAAGGCGAATCTCCATTACTGGCGCGAGCAAACCATTAGTTGGATAAACATCCTTACTTGACCTTCAAGAGATCCAGAAAACAAAAAAGAGTTTGCAAAGTAGATCCGATGAAGATGATAGGCTAGCATTCAAGAGTGAAAGATCGAAGAATCTACAAGACCAAACTTTAGAATGATAAGTACATGAAACTTTCATCTCAGCCAGAGCCTCAGATGGAACCAGCGAGAAACTTAACTGGTGGCTCGCCAAGTGATAGAGCTCGTTTGCGGCATGGCACGAGAAGAGCAGATAAATCCGAGGCGGGACCATCCATGCGAATCTCATAAACAAGAGCGAGTACTGTAAGGAGAAGAAAATAAAAGGACCACATTTCAACGAGGAAATCAATTTCACGCGCCAGCGAGGTAACCAGCAACGTTACGGTGGCCCGAAAGTACTGTTTTTCGTGCTCCCATGCTACTAGGTTGTACACAAGCTTGAAGAGGTGACTTGTCGAGATTTCTTGTGGCAAAGCGGTAAAAGAGCGTTTATTTTTTGGTTGCAGCTCAAGGAGAGAGATATTCCGACGCCAGCCACTGAAGCGATGTATTCGGCGGAAGGAATTACATGTATGGCTTGTCTCTTTTCCTTTTCACTTCTAACTCTTGTGTCGCTCATGTCTAGAGTTCCTTGTACTTTCTCTTCTGGATGCCCTTCTCCTGTTTGATGTGAGCGAGCAACTCTGTGTGCTCTTCTTCGCGTGGCTGCAGCTCCAGGTCCAGGCAAACAAGCATCCGCGCGAATGGCTCGACGCTTTCGTAGCTCAAGCCAAAGCTGGCGGCGGGGGCGACCTGATCTGCTTCATAGACACCGTGCACGCATACAGGTTTCAGAAATTCTTTCTGCCAACCAGGGAGAACATCGACAACGTCTATAACGTTTGGTTCAAGGAACTCCCGATGGTAGAGTGGCAATCGATCGACCTCACCCCCGGCGTCCGCCAGGTGTTGGAGGTAAAGTCCTTAGCTCGATTTGCAAAACAGAAACAGGCTTTGTTTGTTCTTTTTTTTTTTTTCTGGCAGGAGGTGGTGGCAGCAGTGACTCACACATTCGAATGGGACCAAAGCCTTCTTGTACCTCTGGAGTGCTGGGTTCCAAGAAGCTCGCTTGTTTACCAGTACAGCCCTCGCGAGGTTTCATACTTTATGGACTTTACGGGCCGTCTGATGTACACTTGGACACTAACGAAGAAGGGGCAGCGGGACCATGCCGAGCTCCAGAAACTGTGCTCGACGGGCAAGTAGCACGCACAGTCGGTGACAGTGGGAAGCAGCGACGAGCGCCAGCTCTACCGTGCTGCCGCTGCCGTTTTCGGCAAGGATTTTAGCTGCCATTTCGTGCAGCTGTGCAGGAACGCGCAGTGGGAGCCGGATGGGGTCCCTTGCTCGCAATCCGAGCTGGGAGAAATAAGGGAGCTGGCATGGAGGGGGCTGATTTTAGTCTTCAACTTCCAGCACAGAGTTCCGGAGCATTACTTTGACGACGGGCATAAACAAATGAGAAGTGAGGTGCCGTTCGGCGCCCTGATAGTCTACATTGTTCACGTACGCACACTCTCTTTGTTTTTTTCGTTGGAATGTGTTTCTGATTTGTTTCCTTTTCTCTTGTGTGTTGTTTTGCGCAGCTGATATTTGAGGATCACTTGGCTCTAGACATTGATCGCAAAACGTCACAAGAATGTGAGTGACATGAATTATCTTTGCTTGGTGGAAGTATTTACTAAAGCTGTTTCTGTAGGCACGGTGGCTCTAAATAGTCACCCAAATCTTGATACAATCTGGATCAAGAGAGGCATTTTTATTGCATCAGATGCGACTAAGAAGAGATGTCTAGCTCTTGAGAAGTAGCCAGCGCTGATGAAATAGGCGATGCTATGGGTACATATTATGATCAGGAACACAAAGAGTTATGGTTTAAAATGGCCAAAATATTTAGATGGAGTTATGAGAGGCTCGCTGCATATATTGTAGCATACGCAATTTCCAAAAGAACAATTTAAGAATATATGGGTTATAGGTCTTCCCAACTATAGGTGATAGCATGGATTTGTCGTGCCAGCATGCCAAGAGTATGCACTTACTAGACAGCTTTTTGACTTGAGTTGCAACGAATGAGTGCCACCGCCTGGCCTCCAAAATACCTTGTCCAGTAAGTGCTCAACGTTCATCATTGCGTTCAATGGGAAGAGCATCTTCAAATCCAGCATGAGCGGTATCATTTTGGACAGGGGATAGGACGGCAGGAACTCAAGAATCCATAGCTTAAGGCCGTATTCCACTATGATCAACAAGAGAATAGCAAGACTTTGTTCTCAATCGATTGCTGGAAAATATGCCGAAGAACAATTTCGTGGAGAGGTCAAGTATGATCTTTAGAACAAGTATAAAATTTTGAAATTGATATAGGAATCCAAGCTGCGAAGGACGACGGTATCCATAGAAACGTTTTGGATTTCTTAAGCTTGATTGCCTTTTTGATGGCCAAGATAAAGCTCTAGCAGCCTCAAGTAAATTTTTGGAAGTTCAGCGAGCGAGGCATGGTCAAGGCGGCCATGCTCTACGTCAGCGACCTCAAGGCTTTACGTGCTGAAGAGCGCTCTCAAGAAATCGGCGGATGGGAGCCCCGGCGAGGTGATGTGTTAGGCCAGCCAAGGACTCGAAAGTGAAGAAGGCTCGCTCGCCCGGCAAGAAGCAGCCAGTGGCGCCAGCGGGAAGAGGAGCAAGAATGGAAAACGAGGCAGAGACTGCCGAAAGATGCGTTTTTTCCAATGCAGTGTAGCGGCTCGGACAAAATGACTAGGATGGGGTGGTGGAAATGGAACAGGTGGGACTTCCTAACGGATGATGACTTCGCCTATTGGACACTGGTTGCAAAACAAGATAGTCAGTTGGTGAACTTGGATTTCGTGGGTGTGCACTTTGGATCTGCATGGTGCGAAGGACATTGGCAACTTACTGGTGTGGAGCACATCGGCTCCAAGTTGAGCAATGGCATCACCATTGTCCACAAATTATATGGCATGGGTCAAGTTAAATGTATTTCATGTCTCTAACAATCAACATCTTTTTAAGTTACCATGATCCCAACATGTTAACTTGACCATGTTGGGAAAACTATTTTGCTTTTTCCAACTTATCAAGAAGTCCTTAATTGTTGGTAATATGTACTTGATCTTCTTTTGTGTATTTGTTCAGCAATTGATAATTTATGTACATGCATATCTACTTGTCTTCTTTACGAACACCAAAGCCTCATGATATACCCCTTATTGACTAACTCATCAAACTGCCACTTGAATTCCTGTAATTCCCTTTTGTCCAACCAATATGCTACTACTTTCACTCCCTCCATATACTCAATTTCATGTTCTATAGCAAGTGGTAATTTTGTCAGAAGTTCCACATACATGGTATCTCAGAAACAGTGTAACACCCATTTTGCCTCTCACAAACATGTTCCTTTAATGAGTTGGTCTACCAGATTTAAATAAGACCTAATTAGTTAGATCTTGGGATAACATTCCAAAGATCACATTAAATCTACATAAATAAAAAGGTGAAATCACTTGAATGCTAGCTTAATTTGTACTTTTAACTACTTTGAACAAACTTCTTAGATGTTTGAGCCTTCACTACTGTATGTTTCAAGAGATCTTGAATGCCTGAAAGTTTCAAGTAAGTTTAACCTGAATTTTATCCATCTAATCGATTGCCTTCCATGTCACTTTTGTATTTAATATTGGGACAGAAGGAAAACTTGAAAGAATGCTTCTAATAATTTGTTAATGTAATAGTTAGGAAAAAGAGATGGCAATAGCAGTAGATCCAAAACTTCCCACGAAGATGAGAGTATAGTATAGTATATGAAAACTTCCATCTCTTCCATCAGCTCTTCGCAGCAGAGCCTTTCGATCTGCCCAAGAACGAAGATCGTACGTTGGAACCAGCGAGAAAACTAAGCGAGAAACTTAACTGGTGGTGATTGTAGATCCTCGCCAAGTGATAGAGCTGGACCGACTCGTTGGCGGCATGGCACGAGAAGAGCAAATAGTTCCGAGGCTGGACCATCCACGCAAATCTCATAAACAAGAGCGAGTAGATACACATCACTGTAAGAAAAAAGATAAAACGATTCAAAGAGGAAAATCGATAGGAAGAAGAAGAGAATTCATACACTAGAAAAATGCGCTTAGTTTCAAATGATTTCCCAAGAGAATGTACCACTCGTCATGTTGCTCGACATCATGTCTGGCGGCTTGTTGAGATCCACAAGCCCCTGCGAGCAAGAAATTCACAATTAGAGCTAAAATTTCGCAAAAGAATCGATCTCACAGCAACGACGAATCCCCAATTGGCAACGGGGCCCCAAAAATGCGTCGTCTTGGGACCGACTGGGCTGTTCAAGAAGTTCTTGAATGCCGACATTCTCGAGTTGACAAGAAGCCCTAAATGGAAAACCCTAACGCTATGGTTTCGGTTATAAAAGGGTTATAAAGGTTTTAGTTTGAATCTTATAGTTTTAGTTTTTTCGTTTTGATAGGTTACATTGTTTTAGATGACATGAACCAAATCGTCCACAACCATTACCCGGTTGTTATCTTGCATTTTCTGGAGAGCACACATTGATTGCTTCGTTAGTGGATTGGTATTTTTTCCTAGCCTACCTTGAGCAAAGAATCGATCTCCTCGCGTGAGAATGGTGCCGGGTTGTCGGCATTCACTGCTGCCGCAATCCCATCCTTTGAGATGTACTCCAGTCGATTGGATTGGAGATGTTGTCCTAGTTTTAGATTAAACTCGTCGGTCCTGGAAATGGAAGTTTGAGGCGAGCACAAAGAACGGGAGAGGGAGAAATAAGCAAGAACCTTTCGGACGAAACATGAACTTCATGGTCCCCATCTTCGAGAACCGTTTCATCCACGGCATCTTCTGGAACTGGAACGCTTTGAGGAGCGTCGGGAGCGTCTCCCTGCTGTTGAGTATTACTGAGAAAAGAAAGTTTAGCATTGATAATACTCCAAGATGTGAATGAAATTCACCTTGTTATTGGAGGCTCCTCGGGTGTCTCACCGCGACTTCTACGCCGTTTTCGCCTGCATACAAAGATCAGCATGAGCTGCGCAAAGCAAATGATTGATTGAACACACCTCTCTGTATCCGGGGTTTCCTGTTCCGCATCCTGTTGTCTTTCCTTCTCTCGCTTTTCCATCTCGTTTAGCTCTTCGTGATATATAGCAAATCTCATTACTCTTAGAGCTGCTTTCACGTCCTCCTTCAGCACCTGCAAAATGAGAGACATGAAGTTATCGTCATTCCTGAGGAAGAAACTCCGTACTTGGCCTCGCAACTTGAGCTTTGCGTGCGCGGTTGAAAGACGTATCATAGTCTCGAGGGTGCGAGCTGTGATTGGCAAAGTGCCTCCTGTCTGTGGGAGAAAACATGTGAAAATGAACCCAGTTCTTTACGTACCTTATTGTCAGAACTACGGATACGCATATTTGCGTAAGCCTTGATGATTTTGGTTGATGCCTGTACAGCATGCGAGTTAAAGCACTAATAAAGCACTAAATGCAAGAAGGACAAAATTACCTCTTCAGTTAGCTTTGGTTCGTTCCTACTCTTGGCATAATTTATGAACTTCTTCAAAAACCTGATCGTTAATGTTTCACGCTTTGCAGATTTTTCGCGCGCATTTCTTGCTTGACGTTTTCTTTTCTCCCCGTGCAAGAAACGATTATACTTCACAAATATCGTAGTTCCTAATTCATGTTCATCGTCCTCGACATTTCTTGCAGTCCCACCTACGGCGGGAAGACCTGAAAAGCCATTGTCATTATTCAAAACAATACTAGGCACGCTATTTACCTCCGTCTTCGCCGGGTGCTCGAAAACGGTGCATTCGCAGCACATGCTCAGAAATTTTGCGGTCGGTATCTGCATCCATTTGATCAAGAACAATAAACAACAGGTCAAATCGTGACAGTAGAGAGTCCGGAAGCCCGATATTTTTTGTAGGAGTAAGTGATCGATCATACTGGAACAAACATCCATGAGTGATTAGTCACCCAGCATTGCGTCAAGACTTACAGTTCCATAGATAGGATTTGCTGCAGCCACGACACTGCAACGGGCATTGAGTGACGCATGTATGCCAGCCTTAGCTATCGTGACTGTTTGCTGTTCCATAACTTCGTGAATGGCAACACGATCTATGTCGCTCATTTTGTCAAACTCGTCTATACAGACCACGCCCCTGTCTGCCAGCACCATTGCCCCTGCTTCAAGACGTCTTTCACCTGAGGAAGAAAAGAGTCAATCCAGAAGTTATGAAAATCCATTGAAAAGGCCTACCAGTCTCTTGATCAGATGTTACAGCAGCTGTGAGTCCTACTCCAGACGATCCTCGGCCAGTAGTAGATATTGCAAGCGGTGCAATGCTCATAATCGCTCGTAGCAACTGGGACTTTGCAACGGAAGGGTCCCCAACCAGGAGGACATTGATGTCACTGCAACAAAAGAATGTTAAGAAACTACATAGCGCTCTGTACGAGGTGCTCACCCACGTATGTGCGTGCCATTTGCTAGATTTTTCTCCAGTCCACCGATAAGCAAAAGAAGCACGGCTTTCTTGATCAGGGAATGACCACATATTGAAGGTGCAAGCGACTCAGCAAGTAAATTAAACGAATCCTCCCTGTTTCCAATGGTCCGAATATTTTTGAGATCTTCATTTGTGAAAATTGGAGCATAAGCATCTTTGTTCAGCTGAGCAATGTTATTTGCTATAACGATGGTTCTGCAACAGTAAACTTCTCATGAGCGGTTTCACGAAAGTTGATAGGGAGAGACTCACCTGAAAACACCGTTGATGCTCCCTTTGGATTTGCCAGGAATCGCTTTGTATACGCCGACGATAGAAACACGGTCACCTGGCTTGCACACATCGACCAGATCATCCTCCACTATAACATCCACAGAGCGGGGAAGCTGTCCTGGTGCTGAGTTTTCGGGCATTTCTTGAATAGACAAGACTTGATGGTCCCTATACTTGCACAGGCCAAACTCAGTCACCAGAAGATTCCCGTGGTCATCCTAGCAAAATAAACGAGTGAAAATCTGGTAAACAAATATGATAACTTACTCTAGTCGGATACACAGATCCTGTGGGAAGACCAACAAAGGAAGTGATGTCCCGATACTCTCGAGTTGTAAAATCTCCAGTAGTCGGGCAGTAGTGAACGCTCTTGACCACCTTGGGCCTCACCAGCGAGCCTGTTAAAAATAAATAAATGAAACGAAGCTATAAAAAAAAAAAAGCACTACAGCAAAGCCTTACACTTTGTGATGATCCCTTCCACCCGAACCATGCTCCCGAGAAATGGCGAAAGAAGCTCGCGGGGTGTGACTTTGTGAAAGCCAAAGTAGCCCTCGAATCCAACATGAATCTCCTCTCCTTCCAGCAAGTACTTGGGATCCACATTCTTTGTTAGCTCGTTAGCAGCGTCAGTGAAAGGCTGTATGTACTCGTTGGGAGCTCGTATGACCCTGCCACTCCCAAAATCACCGACTCAAAATTCCAATTCCGGGAGAACAGACCTTCGAGCAAGATCATTGTCAAAGTTCCGGAGGTCGCTAAGATCGACGAGCAGCCTGTGCCTTCCCTGGGACATCATACTCCGGATTTTCTCCACATAAGCGCCATGCCCGGCCTGGAAATCACAGAATGGAGCTCACATTCTCTCCCTCGCAGCAAAAAGAACTCACATCGTGGTCAAGGAAATCGACGAACGTCCGCCTGTGCGCTTGGTAGAGCTCCTGCGACTGCTCCATGGCGTAGCTATCGCGCCATGCCCCAGCTCAAAAACCCTAAACCTAGGGACTCAAATTTTGGCGGGAAAACCCAAAAACTTATTTGACAAAGGAAAAAAGGATCACAACGTCTAGTATTGGATCATTCTTAGCTCGTACTCGCCCGCTGTTGTGATGTAACGCACCCATGGCAATGCTTGGTAGCCGCTCTTCTCTATGATCTTCAAATAGCGAACCTGGAAGCAAGCGAAACAAACGCAAACTCAAACGAAAACCTTGGAGCTTTTAGCTCGAAGAACTCACCTGGATTCCTGAAACAGTGAAGTAAGGTATCTCAAACTTTACTCGAATTGGCGCACGCTTCTCTGGCACACTCTCCTCACTCACAATGCTTGGCAGGCCAAATTGAGCTCTCAACATGTACTCCTGAGCGAAAAAGTCGTGAGAGTTTGAAAGAAGAAAGGAGAGCGATTGAAGTACCTTGCCGCCGGGGAATGACTTGATCTTCCATACCAAGGCTTCTTTCTCGGGAGCATAGACTGATGAGCCCATGGATGTTCTCACGTTGGGTGTGGTGGCATCTGCAGGAAGCGGCAGCTCAATTTCGACATTGGTTGCCGTGCTGCAAAGAGTAGAGAAAACATATGAGACTGAAAATGCGAACTATTCAAATACCTGCGTTCTTTGAACTGACTGCGGGCTTTCACTGCGTACTCCACGCGACTCCGAGAATGTCTCTCGACCTGAGCTTCTACCCATATCAAAGGTCTCACCTGATCAAAGGAATGGTCAGAAAATTAACTCAAACATCGAGGGCGTGTAACAACCTGTGTACTTAGCCTATATGTCATGAGATCAAAAGCACCATCCGGAGGAATGAAGGATATTGTCCTGTCGTTCTCGAAGCGAGCCAGCCGAACACACCTATCCCCAAAACGTGGTGACTACAATGTAGCACAATAGGTGTAATGACTTACTGGTGAAATTTGATATCATCCAGGTCGATGGCTTTGCCCTTGGTCGAGCGCCCTTGTGCCTCTAGAAGAACCCTGTCGTTGAGACCGAGCTTGCATTCCGGCATACCCCTGACAAACAAAAGATTATCCGCTTAGAACTGCAAGAATCAAAGGCAAAAAAAAAAAAAAAACATACGTCAAGTATGTTCGCATTTTCAAAGCACCGACAACGTCTGAGCGAACCAGCTGACCGTTGCTATTAACAAGAATGTTGACGCTTTCGACAACATCGAGAAAAACCTGCAATCCACGATAAAAGCGAGACAATTTAAAACGTAGTTTTTGTACCTCGTTCTTTTTGTAGCGAATGCCTTCACTACGCCAGGATACTGCATTTGTCACTGCCATGGGAGGACGTTGAGTGATTTCAATCTTGTAAGCATCTGTTTTGATGAACTCGCTCAAAATATTTGCTTCCGTGAACTGAGGATATCCGAAGTCCATCATCTCGTCCAAAAGTTCGTACTGCAAATGCAATTAGAAAAATATGAGAAAACAGAACAAACACCGGAGAGTCACGGAGAAAAAACAAAATTACCACTACAACAAAATTATCTCTCAACGACTCTTCTTCCAGCTCTTCAAAGTAATGCTTAAAAACCTGAAACAGAAACAAAGAACACAGGTTAATATCGATTTCAACCAGCACTCGTAACTTAAGAGCTCCAAAGAGTATGAGGATACTTTACATCGATAACTCGATGCAGAAACAAAAGGAGACTCGCAGCATTGCAATTTTGTCTGGATGCCGTCATTACGTACACGTTGTTGTGCTGGACGAAAAGATAAGTCACTCCATCGTCGAAAACAACAGGATCTTGGGAGCTTGAATCACTCTAGAAAAAAAAAAGAGTACATCCTAGAGCAACCAAACAACAAAATAGAATCTGGACGTACCTCTCCTTCTTGTATCTTGGCAAAAAAGCGTTCAGCCTGCGCTGCTGATACATCTCCGCGATAGTCTCTCCATACTAAAACCCGACCCTTCATATCTAAAAGAAAGAGTGCTGAGGCAGCACCCGCCATCGCCTCCTGTTTAATCTCTTTCTCTCTTCCCCCTACGACTAAGTCCCTATGATTTTCCTCTATCAGTTCCTGCTCCTACTTGCCTCGGAGTTTGTGGATCCATCGAGCCCGCTACCAGTGCCAACCAATTCCTTGAGAAGCTGGAGTATCAACACAGGTGACGCTTCTAGCTGCATTAGCTCCCACAGCTGCATTCCAATCTATAAGCTTCCATACCCTAAAAAAATCGCAATGCTCGAGACAGTACCGTGAGAAAGACGTCCTCTCGGATTTCCAGGCCCGCGAGCTGCGTCAGTTCCAATACCTTCTGTTCTTCTGCACGAGATCATCCCACAAGAATGTGTGTGAGAGAGGAGACTTCGCCAGATCCAGCGAGAAAACGCGAAGCGAGGCAAGATCACTCGCATTGGCGGCCTTTCGGCCCCAATTGCTGGGAGATCCACGCAGCGCGAGGAAATTCCACAGTGCCCGGATCGAGCGCGTACCTGGAGATAGCGCTCGTGACGCCGCTGCCATAACCTAGAAATTCCACACAGAGCAAAGGCCATTTCTTCGCCTTTGGCTACCGCGAGCAAATCTCAGCCGTCCAGGTCTCTTGTACACATCGCAGCCGTTGAGATTCAAAGCTCGAAATATTTTCCGAGGGTTTTGGGAGAGATGGCCGTCGCGGCGCCATGGCGCGCATTCCCATTCTCTTGGCCGCGCCCTCGAATGCGCGAAATCTCGCATTCTTGTGCTTGCTCGTCGGCGACGCTGCTCCAGATAGAGGATTCATCCGAGGCAAATCGGGCAGCAGTAGCAGCGGAATCTGAGGAACAGCCGGCTAAGAAGGTACCGTTCTTCCCCAAGCGAGGCCAGGAGCTGGAGCTCGTCTGCGAGAGCCTGGCATTCAAGGGACAGGGCGTGTGCAAAGTTTTGGAAACCGGGTATGTGGTCATGTGTGATAGGGCATTGCCGGGAGAACGCTTGATAGCGCGCATCACCAAACGAAAGGGAAGCTATGCAGAGGTATAAGAGAAAGAAGAAAAATTCTCTGACAGTGTGGGATCGTCTTACGCTGGATGGTTTTGTTTTCTAGGCTCTAAAATTGCGGACGATCGTCACACACGACAATGCAGTAACTCCACCGTGCAAATACGCTGAAAGCTGCGGTGGCTGTAGAACACAAAACTTATCTTATGAGGCCCAGCTTGCTGCAAAGGAAGACCAAGTCCATCAGCTCATTTCACGAGTCGGGAGGTTTGGGAGGAGTGAGGAGTCCGGCAGTGGCAGCTACTTGAAACCGATTTTCCCTTGTGCAAATCAGTACCACTACAGGAACAAGGTGAAATTCTCCTCTAGCATAGAGGCTTAAAACGCTGAACGTTTTCCTGACACAGGTACGCAGTCCCGGTTGTTTCCATTCAGGCGTTCTGACGTGCACTTCCCTTAGATGGAGTTCTCATTTGGAACTCGATGGCTGCCACCCAACGAGTTTGTGAAGAACCAGTCACCAGATATTAAGGAGGACTTTGCGCTTGGGCTCCACGTACCTGGGAGCTACGACAAAATCCTGGACATTAGAGAATGCCTTCTGCAACATGACGTTGCGAACCAGGTGAGCGGGACTGCCAAGATGCTGTTCTACTTTCTTATGGCTTTTTCCTTTTTTTTCTTCTCAAGATACTCTTAGACGTGCATACGTTTTGCGAAACTCATCGGAATGATCTTTCAGCATATGATACAAAGACGCATAGCGGGTTTCTTCGTCATCTCACACTGAGATCCGGCCAGTAAGTCTGTGAGTGATACCTCTCGGTCTTGCCTAATACGTTTTCACCTAGTGACGAACACACAGGGAAGCTGCAAGTGATGGTTAATATCGTAACTTCGGTGCACCATCCCCGTATGATAAAACCATTGATAGAGAAGCTTGTAACTTACTCTGAAGTGGTAGGTACATTTCTTTTACATGCTTTTGTATTTTGTTCCTGATGTCCAACTTGCAGACTAGCATTGTTAATAATGTGACATCCTCAATGGCCAACACAGGGGTTGGTGAAAAACAGTATCTTCTGTATGGAGCTCCAGCCATTACGGAACGTTTGCGTGGCCTCGTTTTTGAGATTTCTGCCAACTCTTTTTTTCAGACGAACACATCACAGGTAAAATCTAGTCTTAGATTTTGTTGCGCAATCTAACTCAATATTCTTCTGTAGGCAGAAGTTCTATATGAAGTTGTGGAAAAAGCATGCAACTTGACGGAGGCCTCTAGCGAAATGAATATGCTGGACTTGTTTTGCGGCACGGGCACTATTGGCCTCTCAATGGCAAATAAGTAAGATATAAACTGTGGCTGTTTTTTGTTGAATCAACCTCCATGTGTAGGGTCAACCATGTTTATGGCTACGAACTTGTCCAGGAGGCTGTTGCGAACGCCCGGCGCAATGCGAACAGAAACAACATTTTAAACGCGACATTTATTCAGGGAGACCTGAACAAACTTACTTCCGGATTCGGAGGAAATTTTCCTCGGCCTGATATCATTATTACTGGTTGGGTTTTTTCTCAATGTAGTGCTGTTTGGAATGTTCCTGATGAAAAGAGTTACATTTCTCCGCAGATCCGAATCGACCTGGCATGCATCCGAAGTTACTACAATTCATCCTGAAGTCCGGCGCTGCAAGGGTAGTGTATGTTTCCTGCAATCCGGCAACATGTGCTCGGGACCTTGACGTGCTATGTCACTCCAAGGTAAGAGATGCCGTGAGAACTATCTCCGCTTATTGTTCCGCTTCTGCAGGATGGCTCCGATTTAGCTGGTGGCTACCGGCTTCTAAGCGTCCAGCCTATAGATATGTTTCCCCATACGCCACACGTCGAGTGTGTCTGCGCGTTGGAACTGAGCAATTGACTCGCTCCTTTGAGGGGAGACTGCTTGGTATTCTCTCGTGATGCATCTCCCCTGGCAGTGTCCGAGGACGGACGGACAACTCCCGAGATGCCCGGCGGAGAGAATGCGAGTATTTTTCAGCTGCTGGCTCCATCAGGATACTGTTGCCCGTGCGCCTCGGGGATTGTTATTGGTTTTCTGGAGAATCTGCCGCGGCCAACTCCCTCTCAGCCACGTTAAGTACCGAATTATTTTTTACATTAGCAGGCTGTCAACAGGATATTCTCGAGTTTTATAAATTCCGGGGATGTATCAAGTGACAGCAGTGTGAAGTCAACTTTTGCAGCCGGGACAGTGGCATATGTATAGCCGACCTCGACATATATTGTAGATGCATACAGAGCGCAAGTACAATGGATAGTCCAAAGTTGTTCCAGGACGAGCTATGGTCGCTGATGCAGGAAAGTGATATGGGACCTCAGTTTCGGTTGGAGGAAATGGAAGACTCCGACATTAATGATGATGGTCTTCTAGATTTCTCGGAAGAAGCTTCATCCAGCAGCACTGAATTCGCCGACAGCAAACTTTGGTCTGGTCCCCAAGTGGGCAACACACTTAAAGCCATCGATGTAAGCTGCTCGGCTTTTCCATTGATCGATCTAATAGTTCTTTCTTTTACAGACCTCAAATATCAAGGACGAACGCAGACATCTTACTCCAGTATGCTCTCCGAATTGGAGCTCGTTGGGCAAGCGAGACCGCAGTCAAGAACTCAAAGTTCCAGGGAAGCTGTCATCTAAGGACAAAGCGCCCGCGAAAGAGTCCAAGTGGGCTTTGCAGCTGCTCAACAATTGTGTTCAGGCAATTGCAACCAACAACGTACAACGGACACAGCATTTGATGTGGGTGCTCAACGATCTGGGATGTCTCACCGGTGACGCGAACCAGAGGCTGGCAGCTTACGGTCTCAAGGCTCTGTTCGGGAAAGTCGCAGGGACGCCAACCGCCGCTCAAGCATATCATCACAACTTGGACGCAAGTGCCACTGCCAAGAACTTCCACAACGCCCTGCTCAAGTTCCACGATCTAAGTCCGTGGCACCAGGTGGTCTACACGGCGACAAGTGGAGTGCTACTGGATGCATTCGAAGGGAAGGACGCGATACATGTCATCGACATCGGACACTCTCAGGGGACTCAGTGGCCTACATTGATAGAAGCTCTTGCGACAAGACAGTCGGGGCCTCCGAGCGTTTTCAAGCTCACCGTCGTCGAAGATCCTTGCTCGGGGCTCGGCTCTGGCTCCGAGGTGAAAAGCAGGCTGGAAAGGTTCGCGAAGGTGATGGGACTCAACATGGAGCTGCGGATGCTCGTTACACCGCTGCATTCTCTCACTCGGGACGCGTTCGCGATCGCCAAGCCCGACGCCCTGGCGGTTTGTGCTCACTTCCGGCTCAACCACATCGACAGCAGTCAGAGACAAGAGTTTCTAAACTTTGTCCGCGTGGAGCTGGAGCCCGACCTGGTGATCGTTGGCGAGAACGACTCGGACAACACGTCCGCCGACTTCTCCACTGTTGCTGTCGAGGTGATTGGGCACTTTTGGAGCTTCCTCGACTCGATGAGCGGGGCTTTCAAAGGACACGAGTGCGAGGAGCGGCAGATCATGGAGCACTTGTTCTCCACGTCCGTGGTGGCGAGGCTGGCCAGCGGCATGGAGCTGAGCGAGAGCCGCGAGAGCTGGAACGCGAGGATGAGGAGTGCCGGATTCGAGGCCGAGGCTCCGCACGACGAGATCGTCGAGACCGCCCGGATGCTGGTGAAGAAGAACGACGTGAACTGGGAGCTTCGGAACGAGGATAATTGCTTGGTTTTGCTGTGGAAGCACCGGCCGGTTACCTTCTGCTCGGTGTGGAAATCGTAGAGTTTGTTCTTTATCATAAGAAAAACAAAAGAGAGAGTGACGCTACAAAGTTGATAAGATCAGCCTTGCCAAGATTTGGATCTAGAATATTATATTAGCAAAGACAAGCACTGAGGAGCTAAGAAGCATCATAAAACGATGGGCTTGTGTCATGAACCACTTTCATATACATTAGTTTTAGATGCGATGGACTTATCCAGCGAATATCCTCACCGCCTGCCCAAAATCGGCATCTCCCGGGCCTTTGCTTGGATGTTTGTTGTTTTCTGTGTGTCATCCTTGTCTTTGGCAATGTCTCTGGCAATTAAATCTTTGCTTTCCCATGATGGTTTAACGCCCACTCATTACTAGCTTGAGCTCACAAAGTTTTACTTCATTCATTTCCAAACTCAATTCCATGAAAACAAATGAAGCTTTAGATATACATTTGTTTGCAATGGAATTTTACCTTTTCTCCAATATCCTCACTTGCATATTCATCTCCCAGGTCTTTGCTTGGATGTTAGTTGCTTTCTGGGCAAATAAATATTTGAAAATGGCTCAACGCCACACAGATCCCAACTCATTACTGGCTTGAGCTCACAGACTTTTTCTTTCATTTCTAAACTCAATTCCATGAAAAACAAATGGTTTGAGATAAGATGGAATCTTTTACCTTCTCTCCAATATCCTCACCCACCGCATTAGAGCATATGCCCAAGTTGGGCATCTCTCAGAACGTTTGTTGCTTTGTACAAGCACTGTCTGTGTCGTCTTTGTCTTTGGCGGCTAATATCTCGGTCAAACAAATCTTTCTTGTCTTGGGAGATTGTGATGGTTTAACGCAACTGCTGATCTTCCCATGAACAAGAGAGTGTAGAGAGTGTAAGTCGGTAGGTCTACCCCCTTGGTCCCTGTGATCCAGACATGTATTACAAGGAACGCACTGATCCAAATGGGCGAGACGAGCAAAAAACTCAGTCGCTCTCGTCCCCGGACGAGCTCTCTGGGTCCGAGTCGCTAAACCTCATTGGAAAGCGCACCACCTTCACCGGTGTATCGTCCGGAGGAGGCACCACGTCCACCACTTCGGCAGCCTCGGTCTCGTTCTCCATCCTTGCTCCTCCTCCCGCTGGCGCCACTGGCTGCTTCTTGCCGGGCGAGCGAGCCTTCTTCACCTTGGAGTCCTTGGCCGGCCTCACGCATCCTCGAAGCTTGAACACGGCCTTAAACATCACCTCGCCCGGGCTCCCATCCGCCGACTCCTTGAGAGCGTTTTTCAGCACGTCGAAAGCCTGTCCATTGCCCGTCCTCTCCAGCCCCTCCAGCACCGTCCTGTACAGCTCCTCGTCCGGGTACACGTCCTTGTTGAACATAAACTCGAGCAGCTTGCACGCGTCGTCCAGCTTGTCCCCGCGGCAGAAGGACGTGATGAGCGCCTTGTAGATCGTCAGGCTCGGGTCGCACCCCCTCACGATCATGTGCCGAAAGAGCTTGTAGGCCACCGGCAGCTTCCCGATTCGACAAAACGCCAGGACCAGGGGCTCGTACGACTTCACGTCCGGGACGCTCCTCCGGTTGAGGTCGCTGAAGTAGAGCATGGCCGCCTTGATCATGTCTCGCTCGCACAGCATCTCGATCACCACGTCGTACATGGCCAAGTCCGGGGTGAAGTTCACTTCCTGGAGCTTCTTGAGGGCGCTGACGCACGTCTTCATCGGCTTGAGCCGGAGGAAGCCGTAGACTGTGTTGGAGGTGGCCTGGAACTCCACCCGAGTGTGAAACTCCCTGTGCATCCTTAGTACCAAGTCGAGAGCGTCGGTCACCCGGTCGGCCCTGGCCAGAGCCGAGACGAGCGCGCTGCCAGTGATGGAGCCCGGCATACAGCCGCTCCGCAGCATCTCGTCGAGGAGGATCATGGCCTGGTCCACCCGGTTGCCATTCGAGAGCGCCTGCAAGAGGATGGAGTACGTCACCGTGTTGGGAGCCACGCCCATCCTCTTCATGCACTGGAACAGGTTCCACGATTTCTCGGCCGCGTCCCGGTCGCCTTTGTTGCAAAGCAGCTCCAGCACCGCGTTGAAGCTCAGCACCGACGGGATCCTTCCCCGGTCCATGAAGTCGTGCAGCAGGACATGAGCATGGCTCAGTTCCTTCCTCCGGCAAAACTCGGCGATGAGCAAGTGGTAAGTCACGTCGTCCGTGGGAAACCCCTTGCCAACCTCCATCGAGACAATGAGATCGTAGGCCTCGTAGACATATTGCTCCTTGGACATGGTCCTCACCAAGAGCTGGTAAGTCTCATCACCGGGGCTCTTCATCCTGTGAAAGTACCTGAGCGACAGTGGCAGCCTTCCTTGCATCTTGCAAAGGCAAACTATCACCGCGTGGAGAAGATCATCGCCAACTTCCATCCTCCCGTCCAGAGCCTCGTTCACGAGCGAGAGAGCCGTCTCGAAGTTCGACCGGCAAAGGGGCCGGACGAGCAGCGCCAGCGTCTCTCCATCCGGTGCACACCCCCCTCTCGCAAACTCGGGCCTCTTCATCTTCTCGTAGAGCCGCAGAGCTTGATCCAAGTAGCCCCTCTTGACGAGCATTTCCACGAGACCATTGTAGAGCACGGTGTCCACCTCCAGTCCCGGCTGCTGGAGAGCCCACTGGAAGAAATGCAGCCCGGCCGAGCAGTTCCGGACAGCCCCCATCACCCTGAGCACGATCTTCTGCTTGAGCGGCCGCTCCAGCGGCTTCCAGGCTCGATCCAGCTCCCTCACCACGGCCGCCGGATCAACCTGGCGATTGACGATGCTCACCTTCTTCCCGGCGACTGTGAGCACCGGCGACGCCGCCTCGGTCGCCTCGAGCAGCCTCCTCACCACGCCCTTGGCCTGGTTCCTGGCACGAGTGATGTAGTAGGACTCCGCCCTGGTGCCCTGCTGGACCACGAATCCTTCCTCCACCGGCAGGGCTCCATCGGGGCAGCGCTTTACCGCGAGGCGGAGATTGACGACCGGGAAGAGCTGATTGACGACGCGGCCCTGGTGCCGCGACATCTTGGCGCCCGGCGGGACCAATGCCGCCCACGGCGGCATCTTGTTGTGGGCGAGCTGCCAGCATGATACCGTGCCGCGCGGATGGAGCAGCAGGAGCTCCAGCGCCCGGCGGCGTCGCAGCATTCGCTCCTCCTCGCGGCGCCCTGCCAAGACCTATCATAAGAACCCTAAACCCTCGCATTGTCTTACACGAACTTACTCTTCTTCGTTACTAGAACTTGAGCCATTCTTGGTAGTACGCGCACGTCTTTGGAGAAATGATTCCATTGGGCGAGCACTCGTGGATCACCTGTGACAAAATCACGAGCATTGAGAGAATGAAAACAATGGAAACAAAGAGAGAGAAAAAAGAGTTTCCGCAAGAACTTACGGGACAAACACCGCAAGGCACATTTGTCATCGCAGACGAGTCGGAAATTCTAGATTGTGAGGCACGGTAGACCTGCGTGAAAAGAAAAAGTAGCAAGAAATGAATCCAGATCCTACTACGTTTTGTAAGACTTACTCCAGTTCCAACTTCATCGACTTCTCCATCGAGCACCAACATATCCAAAATCTACCAGTCACAATGAGCGACAGCGTCGAAAGCTTGGAATTTGTTTCACCTGTTTGATATCTTTAAGGCTCAGATCGTTCGAAAGCCCCGACTTCCTTGTGAAGTTTGCTACTTGATCTACATTGGCACCGCCAGCCTTGGAAGAACATTCGTGTAAGAAGAAAGAAATCGAAAGAAATTCATAGCTTACTTGCTTGGCGATGAACTGGTGGCACTGCTGCTTGAGAAGATTGACGAACTCCGCATCAAACTCTTGGTTTTTGTAAAAGCTTCCACCAGTCAGCTTTGCCGAGGGCTCCAATTCGGCGAGAATGTAAACCTTCTTGCCTTTCTACTCAAGGGAGAACTTCAATTCAGCTAGCAAGATTTCTTGAAAACGAAGCTGCCGCGACTTACTTGCGTAGTAGGCACAGGTTTGATGAGCTTTCGAACTTCCAGATTTTTTATGGCTTTTGTCACTTGAGGCTGCTGCAAGTTCGTCGAGAGCTTTATCTCTTTCGTCCATATTCCTGGCCATCACAAGAGCAACCAAGCTTTAGGAATCCACAATTTTTCCATCGATACCGTCGTTCTTCGCAGCTTGGATCGCCTGATACACCAGCAAATCTTCCGTTTGTAAGCCTTTCAGCCTGTATCACACTCAAAAGTTTAGACGCCTCAAAGGAAAAGAGATCATACTTGGTGGCCTCTTCGCGAGATTGTTCCCTGTAGAAAAGCTGCCCATCCTTATTCAACAATTGCCACTGGCCCTGCGGATGAGAGGCGAATAAATCCGAGAAAAATCATCGCTTCAAGAAAAAAATCCTCACTTTTTGGAGAAGAATGTTGATTGCTTTGACGCGAATGTCCACCGATACATCGCTCATTTTACTCTCAATCACATTCGCTCCCACGCCCTGATCCACGATCCATGCTCCAGCATAAGCAAAGGAAAACATTCATAGACGAAGTACCTCTTGCGAGCCGCGGCATATTTCCAGCAATCGATTGAGCGCCGCGGCGATGGCCGCGCGCTCGTCCGCCATGGAGAGGACAAAACAGAGTCCCTGCCAAAACCCTAACCCTTGGCTTTAGTTTAAAGGCCTCTTAACGCTTCGAACGATTCTCTTGTTATTACCTCAACAACCAGCCAATTCAAAGGTATGGATTCCGGAGTTCCTGCAGTCCAATCCCTCGTCGAAAATGGCACCGCTCATGTGCCACAGCGTTTCGTGCGGCCGATTCACGATCGCCCATCCAAGTTTTCCTCGCCAGATCTCGATGACATCCCAGTGATCAACGCCTCGCAGCTGAGTGACAAGATCGAGCTCCAGAAGCTGGATAACGCTTGCCGAGAATGGGGGTTCTTCCAGGTAATCTTTGATTAGCATTCCTCCCGCTTTGTTCTCGAATCTTTCGTTCTTGGATCGATCTCTCTCTCTTTTCTCGGTTTTGACTTGAGAGTTGAGACTAAAAGTTTGAGATGCCCTTGTAGCTCACTGACCATGGAATTCCACGGGCGCTGATGCAAAGCGCCAGGGGCGTAATTCGCGAGTTTTTCAGGCTGCCACAAGAGGAGAAGGAGTCGTACACGGCATCATCCACAAAGCTGCGGAGAGAAGGATATGGACGGTATTTCTTACCTTCCAAAGACACCGTGCTCGACTGGGGCGATGTTTTCTTCCATGCTCTCCCGCCTGTAGCACTCCCATGGCCTGTTCATCCAGCAGAGTACAAGTAAGATAAACAAACTCTCTCTAGAAAAAAAATATTCACCTGTGTGTTCTTCCAAATTCGTTTCCAGAGAAACCATCCAAGCTTATGGAGCTCAAGTCCGCTCTCTCGCATTGAAGCTCCTCGCTGCACTGTCGAGAGCCCTCGGCCAGCCCCCGGAGCTTTTCGGTGACGCCTTCGGGCCAGACGCTCATTCATCGCTGAGGATGAATTACTATCCACCTTGTCCGGAGCCGGATCTTGTGCTGGGATTAAGTCCTCACTCGGATGGCGTGGGAATCACCATACTGCTCCAGGACGAGGTAGAGGGTCTCCAGATAAGAAAGAATGGCGAGTGGAAGCCTGTGAAATCCATGCCGGATGCATTCGTCGTCAACATTGGAGATATACTAGAGGTAACTTAGAGAGTAACTTGCCTTTCCATCTTTGAAGTTGCCGTGGTGTCGCAGGTGATGAGCAATGGAATATATAAGAGTGTGGAACACCGAGCCACTGTAAGCTCCGGAAATGCACGAATGTCGGCGGCTTTCTTCTTTTCACCCGGCTTTGAAGCGGTTCTCAAGCCCTTGGTGCCGGACGAAAAGCCTCTCTTCAGGGAGCTTACTTTCCGGGAGTTTATCACCGCGTATATGGGCAATGCGCTCAACGGGAAGCAACACCTGGAATATGCAAAGCTGTAAGCCAGAAGAACTATGAAAACCAGGAAAGATAATAAGTAATATCATGCCGCCTAACTAATGTTTGATCACTGGAAGTATCCAACCATACTCAAAAGTCAAAGAAAGTCAATGAAAAATCAACGTAACCAATCCAAAGTCAACAAAGCTCAGACAAAAACTGTTGTGACTTCCATTGAGCTCAACTCTTGAACGCTCCCTCACATTTGAGATGAGATATCTATACTTGTTTAAATTAATCCTTTGAAAATTGCATATGCTATAATATGTGCTGAGAGCCTCTCATAATCCCCTCTGAATATTGTGCCCATTTTAAACCATAAATCTCTGTGTTCCTGATCATAATATATACCACCTGCTGCAATCGCCTTGACCACAGCATCGCCTATTTCATCAGCGCTGGCTCCCAAGGCCCTCTGTACGTTGGGAGAGTTTATCAGCTTCTCAAGAGCTAGACATCTCTTCCTCGTCCCATCTGATGCAATAAAAATGCCTCTCTTGTTCCGATATGTATCACGATTTCCGTGACTATTTAGAGCTAAGGTGCCTGCAAAAACAGCTTTAGTAAATACTTCCAGCAAGCAAATATAATTCATGTCACTCACATTCTTGTGACGTTTTGCGATCAATGTCTAGAGCCAAGTGATCCTCAAATATCAGCTGCGCAAAACAACACACAAGAGAAAAGGAAACAAATCAGAAACACATTCCAACGAAAAAACCAAAGAGAGTGTGCGTACGTGAACAATGTAGACGATCATGGCACCGAACGGCACCTCGTTTCTCAGTTGTTTCGGGCCGCCGTCAAAGTAATGCTCCGGAACTCTGTACTCGAAGTTGAAGATTAAAATCAGCCCTCTCCATGCCAGCTCCCTTATTTCTCCCAGCTCGGACTGCGAGCAAGGGACCCCATCCGGCTCCCACTGCGCGTTCCTGCACACCTGCACGAAATGGCCGCTACAATCCTTGCCGAAAACGGCAGCGGCGGCACGGTAGAGCTGGCGCTCGTCGCTGCTTCCCACTGCCACCGACTGTGCGTGCTCCACGATCGACTTGCCCGTCGAGCACAGCGTCTGGAGCTCGGCATGGTCGCGCTGCCCCTTCTTCGTCAGTGTCCAAGTGTAGATCAGACGGCCAACTTGCAAGCTTGCATCCGTGAAGTCCATAACGTATGGAACCTCGCGAGGCCTGTGCTGGTAAACGAGCGACCTCCTTTGAACCCAGCGCTCCAGAGTTACAAGAAGGCTTTTGTCCCACTCGAATGTGGGAGTCACCTCCTGCCAGAAAAACAGAAAAAAGAAAAGAATAAGAAGCCTGTTGAGTCTCATCTGTGTTTTGCAAGTCGAGCTAAGGATCTTACCTCCAACACCTGACGGACGCCGGCGGTGAGGTCGATCGACTGCCACTCTACCATCGGAAGTTCCTTCAAGCAAACGTTATAGACCCTGTCGATGGGTGGCAGATAGAATCCTTAAACCTGTATGCGTGCACTGTGTCTAGGAAGAAGAGCAAGAGGTTGCCAAGGTGCCCCCCGCCGCCGGCTTTGGCTTGAGCTTCGAAAGCGTCGAGCCATTCGAACGGCTGCTTGTTTGCTTGGATCTGGAGCTGCAGCCACGCCAAGAAGAGCACGCAAAGTTCCTGGCTCACTTCAAACAGGCGCATGGCATCCAGAAGACATGTTCGCGTCGAGAAAGTACAGGGAACTCTAGACATGAGCGACACAAGATCTGCACAGACGACTGGTTAGAAGTGAAATGGAAAAGAGAGAAGCCATACATGTAATTCCTTCCGCTGAAGACATCGCTTCCGTGGCTGGCGTCTGAATGTCTCTCGCCTTGAGCTGCGAACAAAAGACAAAAAAGAAACAAGCTCTTTTACCGATTTACCACAAGAAATCTCGAGAACTCACCTCTTCAAGCTTCTGTACAGCGTAGTGGCAAGGGAGCACGAAGGACAGTAGTTCCCGGCCACCGTAACGTTGCTGGTTGGAGCAACCTCGCTGGCGATAGTCGGCCGCGATGAAGAGGTGCAAGAAAACCTCCGGGACGGGAACCCGGAGGACGTGGGCGACTGCCACAGTCCAGATCTTCCACTTGAGCTCCGACACAGTCGACTCATCCATATCGTAGAACCACGACGCCCCTGGTGAATAATCCAGCTCCAGCGCTAAGCGCTGGAATGCCCCTGCCACCACTCCCAGCAATCTAGTGCCTATGCTGCTTTGGAACCAATCGGTCACGATCGACCCACGCGCGGATCCCATCCCACCGCTGGAGTCATTTCCTCTGCCTGAGTCCATCCCGCATCCATGACAAACTAATTCAAAGGTTTATTTTATAGATAACAAGGGTGCTTGAATATTACATGAATAGATTATAGTAAGTATATTCTGATTTTATTCTTTTAAACTAAAATTTATTACAGAAAATTATGATTTGAAAATTTTACTAGCTATTTAAAACTTTATCATTAGATAAAGAATGGGTGGCTTAAATTATTCAAATCACCAAGTTCATTATCTATTTACATTTTCAATGTTTTAGTTTTAAAGTATGAATTGCAAAAGTAAATTTCAACTTATAAATTTTAAAATAAAAAAGGTAAATATTATCATTAAAGTTTTTATAAATATCAAGTAGTTTATTTAAGTTTATAAATGTTATAGAAAATTTTGATTTGGTTTATAAACTCTATAGGTGTAAAGAATATACCTTGAATATCTAAATATATTCTAGGAGGCATGATAACTAAAACATAAATAAGAAATATGATAAGCCACAGTCAAGATGCTATGGTTTCGATTAAACATTGGTTATAAGATTGCTCTAGGGTTAAATGATTAATCTCAAAAGAGTGGTTAAGCATCAAATAGTAGGGTGGGCCAAATTTTTTAACAACTCTATGTGCTTTGTAATGGAAATTTATTTCTTTCAACTTTTCTTATAACTCCAATGTTTAGAAAAATCACCATCAAATCAGAGTGTTTAAGAATAGTTATAACATTTCTTATATAATGGTGGTTTCTTATATAATTGTGGTTTTTCCATGTGTTTATCTGTACAGATTGATTTAAATGGTTGCCACAAACTCCCCAGGCTCTTTTTGTCTCTATCCCATTAAAACATTTCTCACTCGCTCGCCAATGAGTTCGTGCATTCGCTGGGAGAAGTCACCCGAGTCAATGAGCAAGACACGGTAGATCTCCCATTGCATGTCACCGATGGCGTGGCGACCAATGTCAGCCTGAATCAATCGCAGAACTTAAACAAGCTTACACCATGAAACTTTTGGAAGATTTACCTGGAAAATACAGACGTCGAGCATTTTCAATGCCAGAGTTACGTCGTATAGAACCCGAGGACGGCCTTTTCCGCTGAGCTCGATCGGTGTGGCTACGAAGAGCTCCGAGTCTGGTCCTCGAGGCAATACCGTCACCCAGAGGGGATTAGCAACGTCTCTTACAACCCGCTCACACAAAGCTTTTTGCTTCTCCGGATCCACGAGCTTTCTTCCATCAGCTTGAGTTATGAAAAGATCGATCTCGCCTCTCCCTTTGTCGATAGTAGACATCGACAAACGACCGTAAGCAACCTGTGGAACAGAGAGTTGCTAGTTTAGAACCGACGAAGTTTTTGCCTTGCCTGATAGTTGAAGTCCTTAAGAACTCTTAAGCAGTCGTAAAGCAAGCCCTTTCTGTCTCTGCAAGATATCTGTAGGAGAGTGTGCGCCGGACTTAGAAGGTCGTCGATAGTGACTCTGGGAGTGTCACCGTTTTGCTGGGAATTCACACCGGAGGACAGTAGCTCCGACACCGAAGGCGGCAGATTTAATGCAGGAGTGCACATCAAACCTCCATATTCCGGCCCCGCTTCCTTCAGTTCACATTTCGAATGCAAGCCTCCCATCAAGTTCTTTATGCGTTCACAAACTTCTAGTGTCCGTTCCCTCGATGGAAGTAGCAGCCTGGGCAAACAAGAAAGGTATAAGAAAAAGAGGGTCACCATGTTTCAAATAATTGCTCACTCACTTATTGTCAGAGATTATAAAGAAGTCGATGACCTTTCCATCTGGACACGTAGAAGCCTTGACCTTGTGAACAGTGAGCTCCAGTTCCCACAAGATCCTGGACATGTCTGCGGGTAGGAGCAAAAAAAAAAGAATAAATTGACAATCCTGGCAGCTTTACGACTGAATCGTACCATGAAGAAGTCCCGCTCGATCTGCCGAGTAAACTTGGAGAAGAAATAGCTTGAGAGGACTCGTCACGAAATCCGGATCAACCGGCACGAAAACCTGGTTCTCGGGCGGGCACGCTGCTATCATTCGTTTTCTTAGCAGTCCCCATTGGATGGGCTTCGCGGTGGTGATTCTTGGCACCGCCCAGAACACCAGCAAGCACCACCGTCCATCGGTTTGGACATCTGTGCAAGGTAGAATGTCAACAAAAGAAGTAAGAACACTGAAAGAAGAAGGACGCTCTTCCCCACCTCCACGGACGAGACTCAGGCCAAATTCAAAGATAATCCTCGTTAGATCGCAGCCGAGGCCTCTCTTGTCGGGGCAATTCACTGTTATCACAGTCGGATCTGCAGGATGGATCACTACAAGTTCCTCGCTCGGAAGAACACCCATAATATCGCTCTAGATCTTCACTGGAGCGGAAATTCCACAGAAATGAGTCACATTGCGATAGAACAAGCTACTCCGCCGGCCTACCTCGCGGGAATCGCCGATTCAACCAGCCAGGATGTGGAATTCACGCCACAGCAGCCACCAGAGCGCACGATCTTGCTGCTGCCTCGAGGATCTAACCAGCGCCTTGGCCAGCGCTGCCGCCGGATCCTCCCCTGCCCATGCTGCTCTACCTTCCATTACCAGCAAAGGCGCTAAAGCCCTAGCGCGCTCGTAAGAAAAAGAGGAGGCGTGGCACGAGGATGGCCGTCGGATGCCGCGCACGAGACTTGTACGGAAATGATCGAGACCGTCCGTACTTTTAACTTGTGCACGATATTGATGGGCTCCAAAAGGGACTTTAGAAATGTGAGGCGCTCAAGCGCGCGCGAGCTCGTTAAAATCTCCGCGAGGACTTTTTTCTTCGCAATCTATCTATCAACTTAGAGATTGCATTTCCTTGGTGCAAAGTGTTCTATATCTAGAGCTTTGATTTACAATATGGATCACTTGCTGCGTTTCCTTGGCGCGAATAGCTCCTTTTGGAGGATCTCCTAGTACACTTTTGAGCTAGTATTTTTAAGAAATCAGCTTTGATTTGGCTCTAGTAAGAACCTAGAGAAACCCACAAATTTATTAAGGGATAACAGAATATGCGTCAAAAGTCTTATTCTTTTTGAAAATTGCATATGCCATTTTGAATAGTTTACCAATTTTTTTGAGTTCCTCATCATAATGTGTACCACCTGCTGCAATCGCCTAGGCCATAACATCGCGTATTCGCCTTGGCCTTTGTAGTCCGTTCCAATTTGTATCAAGATTTGGGTGACTATTTAGAGCCATCTTGCCTACAGAAACACCAAGCAAAGATAATTCAAGTCGTCTATCAATGTCTAGAGCCAAGAGATCCTCAAATATCAGCTGTGCAAAACAACACAAAAGACAAAAGGGGGAAAAAAATGAGAACGAAGAAAACCAAAGAGAACGTACTTACGTGAACAATGTACACGATCATGGGACCCAGCGGGACATTGACACCATATAATTTTCTGGCAAAATCTTAGGAATGTTCGGCCATCTCTCGGCATGCTCCAGCTCGTACAGATTGCACAAAATTTGCTTGACGAGTTTGAGAAAGCTTAGCATCCTCCACCGATTCATTGTCTCTCAGTTGTTTAGCGCCGCCGTCAAACTAATGCTCCGGAACTGTGTACTGGAAGTTGAAGATAAAAAATTGACCTCCCTTATTTCTCCCAAGGGACGGCCCCATCCTGCCACTGCGCGTTGTTGAGTCTCATCTGTGTTTGCAAATCGGATTTTACCTCCAGCACCTGGCGGACGCGGGCAGTGAGGTCAATCGACTATGGGGAGTTCCTTGAACCAAACGTTATAGATCGTCTCGATGGTCACCTTGAATGGCAGAATGAGGCCCTAGAACCTGCGTGGACGGTGTGAGTTAGTTGTTGCAGACTTTATTCTCAGAGTTGCTTGCCACAACATCTTCTAGTGGACTAGTTCCTAGGCAAATGTCGTGGCGTGCTAGAAAGCTCCAAATGATCAATGATTTTGTCCTGAGTCCAAAAGAGCCTCTCAAGCTTGCTGTCAGGAAACACCTTTGCTGTATATGCACTGGGATCCAGAGAAGATTAGATGTCTACAAGTTGGATTGGCTCTGTGGAAGAGGAATTATCTTGAGACGTGGAAAAAAGTTTTAAATGTTAACCAAAATCAAGTAACTCCTCTAGAGGAGAAAATTGTGGCATGAGAAAAATCATTGCACACTGACTTTTTAAGTCACTTTTTTCTTGTAAGGGACCAACCAACTTTCTGGAAATATTGTTGGCTAAAGTTGTTGGCTAGAGGCTGCTGTAGGACTTTCTCCTGTAACACTTGCTGTTGCGGGTGCGCTGGCTGCTGCTCAGGGTGGAGAATCCAGCACCTCATCTGATTGAGTGCAAAATATGTGGTGACAGGATGGCTTAGCATCTTGTGAGTGTAAGGCTTTTAGCTCCTTGAGGTGCATCTGCGGCTGGACAAGCTCTCAATACTACACTAACTCCGTCATTGTCTAGCACCAAAGGCAAACTTATCCTCTGTCTTTGGCGCTTACACTCTATTCATAGGCAATCCAGAATGATGGTTGGACTAGTCATGCCAAGCTCTGGTAACATGTCCCGCTCAACCTACTCAAAAAGAGGTTAGCAAATAACATATTTCCACTTTGCCACCTTCCGCTGGAAAACTGGCTTCAAACCTTGGATGATAGCTGCGGTGATACGCTTCTCATTCATGGTAAAACCTTTGGCTTCCAGTTCTTCAAATAATCTCCTAAGGATGCTGCTGAATGCAAAAAGCTCAAAATAGAGTTGATGGTCTTCTTCCCCACCTCCACATACGAGAATTCGAAGATAATCCTCGTTAGATCGCAGCCCAGGCCGGGACAATTCACTGTTACCACAGCCAGATGGATCACTACAAGCTCCTCGCTGGGAAGAACACCATAATGATCTTCACTGGAGCGGGAATTCCACAAATGCGTCACATTGCAATAGACCGCCGGCCGATTCAACCAGCCAGGATTTAGAATTCACGCCACAGCCAAGAGAGCGCGATCTTGCTGCTGCCTCGAGGAGCCTCTTGCTCTACCTTCCATTCGGCTCAAAGTAACACGCTCACGCGCACGAGACTTGTACGGGATGATCCGGGCCGTTCTTACCTTTAACGCTTGTGCACGAGATGTGAAATGACTTGGAAATGTGAGGCGCTCGAGCGAGAGCTCCGCGACCACTTTCTTCTTCGCGATCTATCTAGAGCTATGATTACAATGGGACGAACGTGTTTCCTTGGCGCGTAAGGATCTAGTACACTCCGATTTTGTGCTACTTTTACACTGATCTCTTGAAAGATCGGCCTTGAGCGGTCTTCTTATCCTTCTCTAAGTCGGGCTTGGCTCTGTTGAGAACCTGGCGTGGACGTAAAAGAGAGAACTCCACAAAGTTAGGAGCAATGGTGAAAAGGAAAAAAGAGAGCTTCACCTGAATAAGGCTCTCCACTCGTCTTCTCATCCGCGTGTGCATGAAAGCCTTGGAACACTGCAAGGAGTAAACAGCAAAAGATTGAGAAAGTGAGAGAGAGAGAGAGAGAGAGAGAAGAGAAAAAATGGAAAACAAAACACGGACCTTGACATGGTAGCTCACGTAGGCATGGAACGTCGACAGGTTCCACACTGTTCGTTCTAATTTGTCGCCCTCGACATGCCTCGCAAAGATAACTGGTTGTACACGGGGTGGAATTTAATCACCAGGAAAGCTCGAGTTACATACCAATTGAAACAAAGCCGCAGTTCGCATCGAGGGCGAGACCGGAAACTCCCTGAAGTTCTGCTGGAGGATTTGAAGACCACAGGCATGGAGGAGCTGTGTTTAAACCCCCAGTTCGTCTAGCTTCCATAAACTCCTGTAACACACCGAGACTAGATTTAACCCAGTATTGTCAGAATGGAGAAACCTGGAGAAAAGACGTGGCGAGAACAGCGTCGTTGGCATCCTTGAAACGCATAGGAAAAATCACGGTCACTTTGTCAGCCTGGAGTTCGGACTTGTAATTCTCCGGAGAGCAAAAGAAGAAGGAAGTGCAAAACCTGTGGAACGAGGAAGCAGGATTCTCTGGGACGGTGCATTAGAGCAGTCAAGCGGTCGGCGTCAGGCGACACGGTGTTCATCGCTAGGTGCTTCAAAATCTCTCGAAGTGGAGCTCCAAGCACGACCGAGCGAACCGAAGCAAACTTCGTCAAAACCTGCAAGCAATCCTCTAGCACTTGATCACAGTGAGTTTCTTCAAAAAGCTGGAGAAAGATAAGCAATACCCTCGTCTGCTGGAAGCTGCGAAAGATCGATCCGGAGAGTTAAGTTGTAGCCCATCTCCGGTGGTTCCTTGACTTGTGCGAGAGATCCATAAGCGCCCCGCACAGCTTCCACGGCACCTAGTGGAAGATCACCAGAGAAAACAGTCTCGGGAGCTGGAAGTGGAAGTCCGAGCGAGAGCGTCATGTAATGTGGCTCCTTGGCAACGGACTAAGAAGAAAGAAACCAAACTAGACTGAGAAGTCCTTCTACAGCTTCTTTCTCACCAGGATGTGGTAGCGGACATCGTTGAACTCCACCAGATGGAAATCAATCTCCAGAGGCTTCTCCTGCTTGCTAGAAATCCTGAAAGAAATGCCGAAAAGATAAGGACAGAAAAGGGAGAGTCATATCATCTTACACTCGGGATCGATTGACAAGAATCTGGAGCACTGCCCGCGCCTGAGGCTGCATCAGGATCATCTTCCCCAGTTCTTAGGGCTGCATTAAGAATTTCTATTTAACATATTTTTATCTAGTAGATTATAGATTTTAAATTTAATTTAAATCAAGGATAATTTATTTCTTCATTTATTTATTAATTCTTTATAAAAATTTAAAATTCAAACCTTTTCTTGTACTTTATTATTGATAATAAAGTTAATTTTACGTATTTTATTATAAAATTTGGGGTATCTCTCCTTTGTACAATTTGACATTGGAAGTTTTATATATATATATATATATATATATATATATATAGTTAATTTGTTATTATGTAACCACAAAATAATATAAATTTCAACTTCACGTCAGAATTTTGACACATTAGTAAAGTTTAGATTTCAAGCTTGTGGATGTAATATTTTCCAATACACAAATTAGATTTAAACATATTTTAGATACTATAGATTATATTCACTATCACTGTGTGCTCAGGGTTGTTTTCTTAGTGAGGGTAATGGAAATCACTTTGCACAAATCACATGATTAACATTAAATTTGTGATGATACCATTTTCTTTAAGATGATGCAGCATCAGTCTTATGTGACAATATAAAATGTCATGACCCATGCATACATGGCATACTCTATGACAAAAATATTATACACACAATGAAGTTTAAATTGTTTATATAGCAATTTAAAAGTGATTATGTGCATAATATTTTTGCATACAACCCAAAAATTAAAATCCACACATATGTAAATATATAATGCTCCCATATGCAATCATATATTTGTGGCCATAATTTAACTAAATAATAACTATTTATATCATACTTATGTCAATTAACTAGTTCAAAAAAGTTTTTAAACTATTTTCTAAAAGTCAAATAATAATTGATTGGGATGCATTTTCTAGATAAACCATTTTATGATTAATATTAACATATCTAAAAATTATACTAAAATTGAAAATAAAATAATGCTATCCAAGCTCTGCACATTATCCCATGGCAACCACAAGTAATAGCTACTCCAACAGCACCACCAGCATTCCCTTGCCCATCTTCGTCTGGCTGGAGCAATGTGAACACGATGCTTAAAGAAGAGTAAATATAGAGGGCAGATTAAACAAGATAAAGAGCAATCTAGTTGGCAGAAGAAGCAAGCAATTCTACCTTGGGTTGTGAAAGCCTCTAACATGGCATGCTAAGATCTGAAAATTTCACAATCTCTACCACCTATTATTTACAATGCCCTAAAATGAAGTTCTTTCCATACCTAAAATCCGATGAGAGAAAACCTTGGCCATCTAGGACACTCATCCTTGCTCTGCAAGACTTTGCCTCTTGCTATCTCAGCATATGGCAGAGGCCTTTGCTCTGAAAATATTGCATTGTGGAGGCCTTGTGTGAGTGTTGTGTTTATTTCTCTCTGTGGTGTTGTTTTATAAAAGAAAGAGAAAAGGATCATACCTTTTGCATGCTGCTTTGATCTTTGTCATTTCTGTAGACATAAACAAGCCAGTGATTTTCATGTTCCAGGTTACCTTTTCATCCTGTGATCTGTCACTGCTCGTAAGTCATCCACACTGCCGGGCTTTTTATAAAAGTTTTCCCAACACGTCTTGCGTGAGACCACTCTTATCATATTCTCTGCTGCAAGAAACTATAGGTTGCAGTTGTTAGAAATCTCACAAGTCAAGACTTACTTTGCTTACCCCGGAAGAGTTAGCACTTGCTTGCTATACATGGCATATGTCACGATCATTGCGTTCCAGAGAAACACTAGTTGAGATGTACGACTGGATTGGAAGTGTTTTCAAGGTAGCTAAGATCTTCAAGTGATTCAATCTGAAAGGCATGACAATATTCAAGCACCTGAGTAAGAAAAAACGGGAAAAAAAAAAAAAAATCATGTAAGAGGAAAATGATGTATCCTGACCAGTGGCTAATTGGTTCTTCAATATCCAAAAGCTCTTACTTGAGCCTGCATCACAACCTCACCCGCAAATATCAATGAGAACAAAATAAAAAAGTAAAATAAAAATTAGATACCTTTCACATTTCAGTAGTGATCTCTATTTTGAAATTTGCTTAGAAATGGTGACGAAGCAATCACTTGTGATAATGGAGCACCTTGCCCATAGAAGAGTGCCATAGATTAAGCTGTAACACACTCGCCCAGCCCTAATGTTCAGATGAACAGACTAAACCGAATATCCTTAAAATAGAACATTTGCTCAGGGTCAGCGTTGGAAAAACATAAAATCTTAAGGTTGCATGTCCCTTAAAAGTGCTATTTTTTAGCCCCCATTGCCTTAGCCCTAGGATTGAGGGTCCGAAAGAAAAGATGGTTCTGCGTGAAGCGCGAAGAAAAGAAGATGGTCTCAGCAAAGTGCAATTTTGGGCAGGATCTTCTCATGTCACTGGTCCCACGAGATCCTCTAGAGGTATGCTAGGATGGTTTCGGCTTCTACTTCTTGCCCCAATTTTCTTTCTAGTGGTTGATGTGCTCCTGTTCGATCCTGTTTGCCCTTTGGCTGTGGTTAATTCTGTGGCCATCGCTGATGACGTTTGTGCTGAAATTTGGGAATGGGTAAAGGGCCTTCACCCGTTCCCATATTTCATCACAAACGCCATCACGGAACGTCTGCAATATTTGAGGACGTTTGTGCGGAAATTTGGGAACGGGTGAAGGAATGTCTTCCTTCCCTGCCGGCGGAGCAACATTTTAAGGTGTGTGCGGGAGTTCAAATGTTTGTGTTGTGCAGGTATACTTTCCACTTCAACTATCCATATGGTGGCAAGAATACTCGGTCTGATCCGCAATTCATCCGACATTCAAGCAGCAAGCACCATCTTTTCTGACATGCTCCTTGAGCTGAAAGGACTGGTAGACTGGGACGGTGTTGGGGTAGACGAATGTCAGGAACTATCACGTATACTGGAGAACAGGTGTAGAAGCGAGACTGTGAATGAGGTCGATGCTAGACAAGCTCGTCTTTGCTCTACATGAAATGGGGTTCGAAAAGACCATAATATCTGGGACAGGCGGACATTTAGTACAGATGCTGGATTCGCTTTCAGGCTCTGTGAAGGACAAACTCAGCTATTATGTGTACTCACTTTGGGGATTTTTCTAGCGCCGAATCTATCAAGGAGTACACACTGAAGTTTGTGAAAGACGTGGATGATTCGACTTCAGCACCATCTTTGGTGTTTACAGAGGCAGAGACAGGTTTTACGTCAGATGTTCTTACGGGATTCAGAGGGGTCGCTACAGACTTCTTCTTGAAGAAGGCAGATGATTTGTGTAGGCGACCAAAGCATGACCTCTTTGTCAACAGGTCTGTGTGGGACGATGTTCTGAGGTTCTTTGCAGTACCATCATTCCATCCCAGGTGTTGGGAGGGGTCATAAATTTATTGATGCTGCGGGTGTATATGGGAGTTCTTGTAAGTGTTCCTGTCTTCTCACTATATCAACACAAAGTTATTTTGAATACAAACTTTGACAGAGTTCTTTGGACACATTGGACATAGACAATTTTTTTTGGCATTAGAAGGGCTGTAGGAAGAAATTACAAATTGAAGAGGATTTTGAAGTGGATTGTTTGCCTTACCACAGACATTACATTAATGCTTCTCATAAAAATTGTGTTTTTGCTTCTCCATCCGGTTCAGAAGGAAAAACATATGTATGAAAAGTTAAAGTCTTGTTAGAATAATTGATAAAAATATGCAGGTGATATAGAAGAAAATGCATGGTTTATTAATGTTGTATAATATTTGAAATACACAATAAAATTTAGTTATTACTTTGCTAGTTTTAATAATCTATTGTGTATTACATATATACTAAGTGTAGCTATTATTCCAATTCATCTAGAATTTGATATTTGAAATTTTTTTTAAATAAAGTAGTAGGACTATAAATTATAAAATAATTAGTAGGTCCAAGTGTATGGCTGCAATGACATATACTAATATTAACTTAATAGAATTTTGATAACTATTGGATTGGTTTCAATCTAGACCACTTGCTCCTTTATAAAAATTAAGGGTTTCATTTCTGTATTCTATTTCTATATTCCATGCACTCACATTGGTGGCGATAAAAAAACAATTTTGACTATCCTTAAGGAGTGTTTAGATTTTGGATTTTAGTTTATATATAACTTTTACATTGTTTAAATCTCCTTTTCCCTATAGCTTTTTTGATTTCTTCTTTTTTGCATCTTCCTTTTCATTCATCTTCATGATAGAGCAATAGCTTCATCCTCTTTTGACTTTAGAGCAGGAGTTAGTGCAATGGCTTGATGTTATACAATTATAGTTGAACAATCAGACTCAATTGATGGCGGCTTTCACGGCATATGGTACAATTCCTCTTGCTTTTGGTGCCAATCCTTGTGACTAGTAGGAGTTCTTTTGTGGGAGTCATAAAGATGATATGTATCATTAGTTCAATCACTTTATAGTGATTGCTACATATCATTTTTGAGATAATGCTTGGCATTTGTGTGAATTTCCTATATGTCTCCAAGGGATATAACTGCAATAGTACAATAGTTTGAGCATAGGCACTCGTGAGAATTGAAGCATTCTTTTGGACGTTTTTAAATGTGCATTTAGACATGCCAATGATTGTGATGATACTTTTCAACAATTGTATTATCTTTATCAATGGCCATATAAATTTATGATGCAATTTAGTGTTCGTTTCCAAAGCCTTTTGCTTTGTGCAGAGCCAAATATATCAAAGCATATCAAGTTAGGAATGTTATGGCTAACCTTTTGTTAAGATCTTATAGGACTTATGCATACACTTGTTCCCGCCACCTTTGACGATGTTCTTCGTTTGACACAATATTATGAAATGTTGCCTCTTCCACTTCTCACTACACATCTTTAAAATCCACTTTCTATAAGAGATAGTCTTGTTCTATTGGAAGTTGATACTATTGCTACTTAAATTCAAGGACAAGGGCGAGAACTTAGTTATGGCCGTGATGTCTATTATTGGGTGTGTGATGAAGTTGGTCACA